CCTGCGCATCCCTGAGCCATACTTGCAGGGTAGCACCTCATCGGGATGAGTATCCCACCAGATCATTGCACCCACAGGGGAGGACACAGTGCACAAGGCTCCCTTCGGAAGGTGAGTGTGGGTGCCCGGTATCAAACCCGCTCAAGTGCTTCCCCTTGGCCAGGGCTGCTCTCGCAGTGGGAGCTGTTTCTCTTGTAACCGCAGTGAAGCTGTGTCTGGAAGTGCAGCGGGGGCTCAGGATGCGAGTGCTGACCAACCCAAACAGCGCTGCTCGGGTGAGCAGCAGGCGCTGCCGGCTCTGCTCGCACCTTCCTGCGGCTGCAAGAGCCTGCCAGAAACTTGTGGTGGGGAAACCGAGGCGTGAACCCACCCGCGGGAGCAGGGGCCTCTGCGTCCCTCCATATCCCCCTCTTTGGGATGGAGTAGGCACAGAGGGCACAGCTCAGCACTGATGCTGCTCCCAGCATGGAGCTGCTGCAGGGGAGGAGGAAGGTGGAAGGGGCAGAGCGGTGGACGCAGGCAGCACCCATCTGCAGGGCCATAGGTGCTGAGGCTGCCGATCCCGAGTGGCAGCAGGAAAGGGCTGCGTGGCTGAGGTGGCAGTGGCCGGAGGGAAGGGAGGGAGCCCTGGGCCTTGGCGGTGCCGCCGCTGACTCACTCACCAGTGGAAACAGGAATCTGTTCCCGGGCTTGACACCGCCAGCTCCAAACCATCCCAGCCCCCCGGCACAGTGGGGTGCACCCTGCAGCACCTCTTTCCTTCAGCACCCCACGGCACAGGACACTGGGCTGCCCATGGGCCGCTCTCATGGTGGGGCTCTGCTCACCCCTGTCCAAGGGCTCTTCCATCACCCTGCAGATGCGCAGCCGGGCTGGCAGGGAGCAGGAGCCTCTGTCTCCGGGGAGCCCAAGGGCCACCTTTGTCCGGGAGCTCCCTGGATGGCGGGATCAGGGCCCCACTGCGCAGCGCCCGCATCCAGACACTGCCCGTATTGATGGGAGCAGCGGGACCGGGGCAGCGCGGGGCAAGTCCTCCCCCAGCCCAGCCAACAGAAGGGGCATTCAGGGCAGGGAGCGGGCGGCTGCCCCGGGCAGACCCTGCCTGGCCGAGGGACGCGGCGTTTCCCCACCGGACCGGGCGACCACAACGTGGGGTTTGTTGTCAGCCCCATGCACCAGACACACAGCTCGCATGCAGCCGTGCGGGACTGCCTTTGCCCTCGCACACAGAGGGATGTGGAACGGTGAAGGGCATCTGGATACGGCCAGGGTGGTCGTTCCCAAGCTCCCTGCCCGTCCTGCCCTGCACAGCACCTTGCGTGTCCCACCATGCTCCCTGCACACCCTGCTGCGTGCAGAAACCAGGATCAGCGCTCAGTGTTAGCGCTCAGGAGTGCTGCTGAGGAGCCGTCCCAGAGGAGGGAGGTGACGGGAGCAGTGCCAGGAGCGTTAGAAGAGCTGGGGCTTGGTGTCCATCACAGCAAACACTGGCCAAGGGAGGTGGAGACCTTGTACGATTTGCATCTGTCTCAGCTCCCTCTGCAGCTCTCCCCTTACCCCTGCCCCAGCTGCAGAATAAGGTCCCGGAGCGGGTCCTGCCAGCGCCCATAGACACCATCAGCGCTTGGCCGGTGCCTACTGTGCTGGGGAGAGGAACATCTGGTCCTGCTGAACACTGTCCAGGGCAGGCGGCCAGGGCTCCCTGGGCAGTGGCATCAGCCCTGGGCTGTGCCCTGCAGTCAGCCCCTGGCTGCTCCTCCCTCCTCCTCCCCGCCCTGGAAATGATTCATTTGGTGCGGAGCAGCTTTCCCCGGGCAGTTCAGGAGCAGGGCCCCGCGGCCCCGTTCCTGCTCCGATGCTGAGGGACAGCTGCACTTAGAAGGGAAAATGAACATTTCTGAGCCTCAGAGGCTCTGATGCTCTGCAAACACTGGTGCTAAACCAGAGCCAGCACTGGCAGCTGTGCAGGGTCCGTGAAGGAGAGCGGTGGAGACCCCCAGGAGCTGATGACATCGACCAGGACAGGCACCTGCCTCACGCTGCAGCAGTAACACGCATCTTCTCCACCCGTGCCCTGGAGGAAACCTGTGCTAGAACCCCTCACTTCACCTCTGCGTCCATTTGGACAATCGGGATGTTGTTTCTGATTTAAGGAGCTGCTTGTCCTTGGGATGTCTTCTGTGACAGCACAGTGTAATTCTGATGAAAGGGCTGGACTGGTTGGTTTTGCCACCCTGCTACGGGTGGATGGAGTAATTCAACCCCAGGATTTAGTGTGGTGCCAGAAACTCATTTACCTCCTCAGAGAGCTGCTGTGGACTGTGCACAAAGTGAAGCTGGAGCTGCCCCCCTGTACTGACTCCTGCTTCACCATGGGGATGGCTGCTGGGTGCAGTCCCAGCTTCCCAGCCACGTGTCTGGCAGGTCACCTACTCCCCTTGTGCCACCACTCCCTCTCCCAGGGAAGCAGTCCCACACTTTGCTCCACAACCCTCTGGGCAGGAGACAGAAACAGTCCGTCCCTGGGGGCAAATGCTGGGCCTGACCCAGTGCTGTGGGGCAGGATGAGGTGACACTGAGCTGAGCACCCTCTGGTTTGCTCTTCATTTACAAAAGTGTACAGAAAAGGGTCAAAACTACATCAGATTGATGGGGGTTTCAGTGACAGATACTTCAGTTGTATCAAACTGATTTATCCCCAAAATTGGCCTTGCTCCAAGTAGGCAGTTGCATCAGAGGCGCCTTCCAACTGAACCATTCCCCCTCTAGAACTGCTGACACACAACTACCAGCAAAACCCTCCCAGATGTGACTTCAGGATGCTCAGATGTGCCAGCTTCAAGCTGCTGTTTGTGTATGTGTTTAGAGCCTTCTTTGGTCATGATGCTGCTCTCCAAACCTGTGACTTCCCCTCGATGCTGCCATCAGAGGCTCAGGATCAGACGCATTCACCTTCTTCCTACACCTGTTTTCAAGCTGCTCACACCATCCAGGTGCAGCCTCTGGAGCACCATTAGGGTAATGTTACCTGCCTTTACTTTTCAGTGTTGGGAATGCTGGCAAGAGTCCTCAGGCTCCCCTCAGCAGCACTGCCTGAGGAGCATGGGGCACCCAACACCCATCTACAAGAGGCCAAAATGCAGCCTGCATGATTCCCAGCACCTGGAGCAGCCTCTTCCCTTCTTCCAGGCACCAGGCTCCTGGGACAGGAGTGTACTGATCTAGGATCCTCACAGCGGTGTGCTGGAGGGCCATGCACATGGGTAAAAAGCATGTTCTTCTCCAGGAGTGGCTGCTGCCACTGCAGGGTATTCAGAAACCCAACATGAAGCAATGTGTAACCCTGCCTCACTTCATGGCACTGGGAACATGAGCAGAAGGAGCCAGTTCCCACAGGCAACAGGCCATCCTACAGCACGTTTCAGCAGCCTGGCCCCATTTGGGGCTCAGGACTGAGCTGCGCCAGGCTGAGCCTCCTCTGCCAGACGTATCGTGTTCAGGACCACGCTAAGCTCCCAAAGCCACCACAGCCAGTACTAGCGTCATTGCAAAGCTATCCCTCTCAATAGCTCAATATATGGGAAATTCACTTTACCACACATAATTAGACCTCTCTCTGGTTGAAACTTGTTTGAGGCTCAAAAACCTTTCAGATGTATGCTTAGCTCACCGAGCAGAATTAAGATCTTTTTCCTAAACAGAATCTGGATCCAATCTAAGGACCCCCTAATGGGTAGGGAATTTTTTGTGTTAGAATGCATTGGCTACACTAACACGAACCATGACTGCTGCATCCCCGATGCTCGAGCAGCACTTCATAACTCTTCCTTCAATTAGCACCAAAAAAAGCCTTTGGAATCACAACTCCATTTCTGAGTCCCAAAGAACTCCACAGGGAATAGAAAGTCAAACTAGTTCCACACTTCACAGGTGGAAGCATGGAACTGTGAGACCACGGAATGCCTTGACTGAGAGGAAACAACCTTAAAGCTCAGCTTTTTCCAAGTTTCCCTCACATGCACACAAGAACGCTTGCTCTGGAACTATCAACCCCTTTCTACATTTTCCTAACACTTAACTGGAACTTAGCTTCCCCTCTTCCCATCCCAAAGCATGTAACGCTGTGTGCAAACAAGAGTCTGGTTGGACCATCCTCATCCAAAAGAAACACAGCTAAAATCAATTCCTGTTTATTCTCCAAGGGCAAGTGCAGCTCCAGCCTGGAGGCTTTGTAGCAGGCAGCAGTGCAGCTTGTGCAGGTCACTGCCCGCAAGGACCCGCAGTCCTGCACAGACGCACAGAACACACTGCGCATCCAAATGTGCCCTTGCTGAGAGGTGACATCAGGTGGAGCCTTCACTGTCCCCATCACCCCATGCACAACCTCACACTTCCAGGAGCTGTCTGCAAAGACTGAATCAGCTGCAAGTGGGAACAAATCTGAAGGATGATGCAGGAACCCAGCTTCCCTGCTGTAATTACAGGAGTTTCTTGGAAGGAGGCTGCAGCAGCCTCTGGCCACCCCTCGCTGCAGCTCAACTTGGCAAGCCACCTACGGCATCCACCTGAACCAGGGAAAGACAGGGATTCTTTGGCACTTGTTGCACACAGATCCAAACCAACTGCTGCAGGAATCCTTCAGTTTCAATGAAGTCTGCTAAAACACCTCACCAAATCTCTTCACCTAACACAAAACACTGGCACAAGACAAAACCTAAACATTCAAGGTACTGAAGCAATGAACACCGACTCGCTGTAAGCATCTGTGTCAAGTTTCCACTTTAAATCAGTCCGAAGCTAAACACCTTACTCATGAAGTTGAACCAGCTTAAAGACCTGTACCCATCTGCCTGCTTTTCAAAGAGGACAATGATCTTAAACTGCACATTACTGTTTTCATTAGCAGTAAAAGCTCAAACTTTCTCTGAATGCTCTGATTTCTCCTTATAAAGATGATGACATCTTTATCTCACTACTACCAAGAAAATCACCACGACAGCTTCCAAACAAAACTCTATTTAATGAGCCATACTCAGCCAGTATCAGCAAGGACTCTCAGCACCCTGCAGGTTTACGCCTTGATGGCATATTTCCGGGCTGGGTACAGACGTTCCTTTCGTTGCTGTTTTTTGGTCTTCAGGTTTTCTTCATGCTTGTTTAACCTGCGCCGCATGGCACGAGTCTTCTTCGGCCGCAGATCGAGAGGTTTATACTTTTTGCCCTGTTTGCAGAAACAAACAACAGTTAAGAGACTGTGATGTCCCAGTCAGGTACATGAGCACAAAGACAGCAGCACCTTCTAGACAGGCTGCTACACCCCAAAGAGGTGATGCTGTCCGGGAGACCCTCCTGGCAACAGCAGATTCACACCAAGCTTACAGAACTTGGGGTAGTCTTGCAATAAAACGGAGTCATGACTAGAGAACTTGAAAACTGAACACATACATTTTCTTCTTGAGCTTTTAAGTAACAATCTACAAAATTGTTTCTTATGAAATATGTATATGAAAATAGTGAGAGATAAAAAAAACACTATGCCAGATGTTTGTTCTTACCTTGTAAAACTTCCTCAAGTTCTCCTTCTGGGTCTGATTGATAACAGTTAAGACTCTGGCAATGGATTTGCGCACCACACGTCTGCAGGTGGGAACAGAAGGATGTATCAGAACACACTGACAGAGCAGCACCACAGATCTAAACCCCATTATAGAGGAAACCTGTACACGCTACAACAAGTAACCTTACACTGCAGCACCTTGCAGCAAAACACCAACAACTGCCGGCACATCTCAGCTCAACATCTCCGCCCACAAACCCGTTTTCAAGCCTTTTTGTACCGTTTCCCCCTCTTTTTGTGCAGTACAACGGGGCCGCACGGACCATGAATGCGCTCCTCAAGCACAGCGCGCCCCAGCCCGAGCCTCCTACACGGTACCGGCTGCCAGCACCGCTCACACCCCTAAGGCTCAGGCAGGCCTCTCCGCCGCCCCCCCGCAGTCACATTGACAGGCGTTAACCGGGACACGGGCCGGGCCCCACTCACATCTTGGAGAGCTTGGAGGCGGCCCCGCCGGTCACTTTGGCCACGCGAAGCTGAGACAGCTCCACCTTCAGATCGTCCAACTGCTTCAGCAGCTCCTCCTTCTTCTTCCCGCGCAGGTCTCGGGCCTTGATCTTGGCCTGCGTTCACCGGACAGGCCGTGAGCCCCGCTCCCGGGATCCCGCCGCTATCCCCGCCCGGGCCGCCTCCCCGCGACCTCCCGCCGCCCCTCCGGCTCCGCATCATCGCCCACCCCTATCCCCCCCGCATCGTGACGGCGGCGGGGCCCGGCCGGTGGCGGGGCCCGCGCGGATGCCGCCGGATTGCGCCGGTCGAGGCCGGGAATTCCTCACCATGATGGCAGCACCGGCGCCGCTCCGGGCAGAAGGGACGGAAGCCGCGAGGGGACAGGAGGAGGCGCTGTCGGCCGGAGCCTACCAATCCGCGGCCGGACGGGGGGAGGAGCCGGCGCTGCGCACCCCCCCCGCCGGCAGCGCGGTGGTACCGGCCGCGGGCTCTGACAGGGAAGGCGGGAGGCGGCGGCGGGACAGCGCTGGCAGCCCCGGGTACGGGGCTGCGGCCCTCGGGAGGGGGTTACTGCACTGCCGCAGCGGATCTCTGCCGCCGCCGAGCCCTGGGGCTGCCGCCGCCGTCCCCGCGTCTCTTTCAGCCGCTGGAGCCGTCAGAGCGGAGCCAGTGCTCCCGCGCCGGCCGAGGTGCGGCACTCTTACCCCAGCAGCGGTGGGGATGTGACGGCGGGCGGGGCGGGAGCGGGGCTGGGCTGGGCTGGGCTGTGCACGCAGGTGGCCGGGCGGGAAGGAACCGGTCGCGTCCAGTCGCGACAGGCCCGGCCGCACGGTGGCGCCGCCGCACGCCGCCTCCCTCCGTATCCAGGCAGCGGCGCCGAGCCTCACGGCTCCGCGCGGGCGGGAGGGGGGAATCCTGAGTGACGGCCAATGGAGCCAATCAGAAGGCCGCCTCGCCGTTAGCCCGGGCGCTCCTCCAATAGGCGTGGGCGAGGGCGGGGCGAGGCCGGCCCAGACTAGCGTGAGGCGGCAGCCGCGCTCCGCGCAGCCGAAGCCTTCGCCGCCGCGGCGCCGGCGGCTGTGCCCGGGAGCGGTGGGAGGCGGCGCGGATGGTGAGAGGAGCCGCCCGACAGCGCCTGCCCCGCACCGGCCCGGCCTCCAGGTGCGGGGGGCGGAGCGGCGGGGCGCGGGCGGGGCGGCGGAGCGGGCGGGCGGGAGCGGTGGCGGCTGCGGGCGCCTCGGGGCAGGCCCGGCGGCGGCGCGCCCCTCACCGCTGTGTCGCCTCTCACCGCTGTCTTGTCCCCGCAGAGCTCGAGGCCCGGCGGAGGAGCCCTGCCGCAAGCGGAAGCCCAGGTAAGGCGGGAGCGGGCGGCTCGGCAGGTGCGGGCGGGGGCGGCCGGGGCTGCGCGGAGCATCCCGCACCGGTGAGCAGCTCCCGACGGCGGGCGGGCTCCGCCGCGGTGTTCGGCGCCTTCCGAAGCGAGCCGCAGCTCCCCGCGGGGTCTGTGCTCTGTGCCGGGGCTGCGATGGCGGTGCAGGCTGCCGAGGCCCTGTGCCTGGGTGCACCGAGCCGCGCTCGCCGCTGTCTGCTGCGGACGGGGAAGAGGAATGCGCTGTGACACGTCTTCTGCTTAGGCCTTGGTTTGCAATGGAACCGCGATCATTTCCAAAACGGCCCCCTCCTCATTAACTTCTTCGTTCTTGATGTTATCTTCCCTTTCCCGGCTGGCGGGGCTGGAGGTGTTCAGTGTGCTTTTGACAGGTAGCCGGATTTCTGCATCGGCAAGTGAATCCTTTTGGGTGGAATGTTGCTGGATTTTGCAAGAGCTGTCTGTGCTCGATATCCAGATTGCAGGTTCGATGGAACCATCCTGGATTTGCTCAGATTTTAAACTTTTATCTCAGCAGCTTCCACCTCTCCAGCTGCTTGTTTTGTACTGAGAAATGCTTTGGACAATAGGTGATGTGAAATGCCTTTGGGGGTGGAAGCTGAAAGGTTGTTATGTTGTGTCAGTCCCCCCCAAAATTCTTACCCATTGCTGGCTATGGAAATGGCCATAACCAAAGGCTGTCCCAGGGAAAACATTGAGGATCAAGACTGTGGGTTTCTAGAGTCTGGGTCTAATCTCCCACCACAGAACAGGACCTGTTTCCATCAAAGTATGTGTCACACTTCTGTACTTCATTAACCAGGCTCCAAGATCCTGTGGTTAATCTGTGTCTTGGCTATGCAGTTCTAGTCCCCCAGCCTACAAAACGGATCCCTTAATATAAAAACCTGCTAGATTTTGCAAGAGCTGTCCAAATGCAACCCATATTTTTCAGTATCTTGTCTAAGCTGCTGCAAAGCAGCACTGTTAAACCACATGATGACTTAAAATGCTGGTATAAGTGAGTCTCCCAGCATGCGTGTGCTCTCCCACCATTCCTGCGAGCAGCAGAACTGCAGTGTTGGAAGCAGCCTTCAGAAATCCTGGAAGATCATCCTGGTACGGCTCTTGCTGTGGAAGTTTGCAGATGCCGTTACTGCCTGGTGCATCTTCTCACCTTGTGTGAACCCTGCAGTGTAACAGTTGTAACTGCCCTGGCTCAGGCTCATAAGGGAGCAATTAAGAAGCATCACACCTGACTGTAGGGCATGTTTATAGAAGAGATGATGCTTTGTTTTCAAATCAGATAAGTCACTCTCAAAATGTTTTGATGAAGCGGATCACAGTTTATGTTAAATGAAAGAAACTGAGTCACCTAAGTAGAAGCAAAGAGCATAATTCTCCAGTTGTGCTGAAATAATACAGCTAGCCTACACAAATGTAATAGCTGGGTTCTTTGCTACAGAAAATACAAAAAAACGTTCCTAGAAACTCAGTGGAGAGAAGAAATAATTTGCTGTGCTACAAAGGAGATTGTGATCATTGTTTTATCTTGAAATACAGGTGCAATACAGCATCAAAATTCAGTTGGCAATCCATGTCGTTTGCAAACACTGGAAGATTTTATCATGAAGATGACTACTTGGGCTAAGTGCTACATGTAAGAACGATGCAGCAGCAGCGCCGTGGTCTGTGTTCACCCTGCTTAGTTGAGAAACTAGATCTACAAGTGATAGAATGCTGAGAGTGCCTAGTAGTGGGAGGAATACATAGCTTGCCTGTGTTGTTATTCACTTCTTTTATTTGGTGGAGGGAAGTAATAAAAATGGAGAATAACAACTCAAAATATTGAGAAGCTTATAACCTGAGTCAGTTCTGCATTGAAATGAGATTGTGTTGCTGGTAACGCTGCACTGAGGGCTGAGATTTAGGGAGGTGGGAGGATGGGGGCTGTAGCTCTCCCTCCTCTGCTGCCAGTGCTGCTCCTGTCACATGATGTGACTGCACAGTCCTCTGCTCACACTGCAGCTGCACTCGCCCTGGCATGTGCCAGCCAGATTTTGCCTCTTTTTGCATCACTTGTATGCTAGTTTGGCTCTGTTGGCTTTAAATGGAGTTGCTTGATAAACTGCTGCGGTATAAATGGATGATGGGAATACATTTGATCCTCTGGACACATTAATTTGTTGGCTTGTCTTTTATTCTGCATGATGGCAAGAAAGGAAGAGTTCTGGTGTGAGTGTTCTGAGGTGATGCCTAAATAGATAAAATTTAACTGTTATTTTAAGTGAATTCCCCTAACATCCCCTCCCCAACCCCCTAAAGCATGATACAGCCATCAGAGTCTTATCACAGAAATCTGTGTCTTGATGTCTTTTTTAGCAGAACTTTTCATAGCTTTTTTTTAATCCAAATGTTCATTTGGAGCAATCTTTGGAGAAGGAAAACCAGGACCTGTACATGCAAGTGTTATAATAATTTTCTTTGGTATTCTTGCATAAGAACATTCTGCAGGCTTGGCTTTTGTAGCTGAGCTGCTCTCTTTAAGCACATAAGCTCTGTTCTGGATATGTCGTTTTTAAACAGGCTAGAAACAGAGGTATGGAATGGGGTATGTGTTGCAGCAGAAGGAAACAGTTTAAGGGAGCAGACCAAATTGTGTGTGGGAGCTGCATGGCAGGTCAAATAGAGGTCTGTTTCTATAAAGTATGTAAGTTAGTTGCCAACACAAATATTACCTAGCAGTTTACATGTGCTGAGAGAACACAGTACAGCCCTGCAACAGGAATAGAATAGAATAACCATCAATCTGGTTCCCTGAGGATGTCAGTCAAGAAAGGAAGTGTGCGGTGCCAAAAAGCCTGGATGGAGCAGCAGGTTTAGAGGACTCGTCGTTTGAAGTATTTTTAATTATTGCTATTATTATAATGGAACACAGACTAGAGGCTGAATTTTTAAAATATAATTAACGCAGAAGGCAGCAGAGGGATTTCTCTGCTGTGTGGCTGAGGAATGGTCCAGGAGCAGCTCCTACTGAGGAGGGTGAATTCCCAGGGTGATGATGCTCTCCATGCAGTTCCCGAGCTTGGTCGCATCTTACTGCCAAACACAGTTTGAAGAGAAGAAGTGAACTGAACAGACCAAAAAGCTTTCCCGTGTATTGCATTCTCTTTTGTCAGGGTAAGGCTCCAGTTGGATAGCAGCCACAGATACCTTGGCTGGGAGTGCTGACAAGATGCAGAGTGATGATAACTGCCCTCCAGATCAGACACTGGTCTGGACTGCCATTTGGACCATCTAGTAAATCATATGACTTGCCAGAAAGAACTCTCTTCATCACATTAACATCAAGATACCTTGTATAGCAGCTGTTCGGTTCTCCATTAATGAGTGTGAATCAAGGAGTTAAAACATGAGTCGTTTTCTGAGTAAAGAAAGGGAAAAAATTGATCTTGTAACTCAGATGCTTTTCAGGAATTTGGCTGCTCTAGATGCTAGAGGCATGTGCTTTTCCGCCCTGCTTTAGGTGATGGCTTAGTTCAGGGGGGCCCAGATTTGGCTCTGTCAACAGTTGTGTTGGCATCTTGCCATTAAATGTGCATAAAATGGAGCTGACTGCAATTCCCTCCTCACTAACATGGAGGGGCAGCCTGTGGAGACCTGAGGCCCTGGTATGCCTTGCTGTAGGTTGACTTGGCTACGAGAGGTGTGCTGGGATGTGCAATCCCTGCAGCATAAATTGCTGTATTATGACTTGTTTGTTGTTTTTGAGTGCCTTGGTTGCATTTGAGTGTCTTGTCATAACTAATGCATTTCAACCCTTGTTGTGCCTGTGCTTCCAAAATCTTTCTCCCTTCTCACAGTGGCTTACGTGCTTTTCCAAATGCACAAGGTTTGTATCTCACTTGCAGACTCTTCCTATGGCTTCATGGCTTATGTGCTTTGCCACAAAATGAAGATAAAACACAACTGGCATTTTAGCTGCTCCAAAAACATTGTGTGTAAATAAACCACTAAATAGTTTAGCTTGTGAAATGTAAATACACACAGCACGGCCTGCCGCAGTGGATGATGTTTTTCTGTCTCCCTTCTTCCCCTCCCACCCCTGCCAAGAGTAGGCTAGCCTGATGTTCTTTTTTCTATTGCTCTTTCATACAATGCAAATGACTACTGAGTACCATGTAGGTGGCATGCAGGCACCACTACAGATTCATGATTTGAATTTGGATGAAAGGAAACACTTGCATCTTCTTCCACATTGCTTCTGCACCATCTTCTGTGGATTCCTGGACCCTGGTGACCCAGAAATTCTGCCTCGGTCTGACTTTGAACTTGAGCTCATTTTTAGTAGCACACGAGTTAAGTCGGTAGAAGAGCAGAGGACCAACTGTGATGACATTTTTAGCCTTTGCCCTTTGTTCATCCTGTACACAAAAGGTCATGAGCTGCAGTGAAAGCGGGATCACAGAGGGCGCAGGATGGACAAAGGTGGAACAAATTGCCCGTGGCAGAAACATAAAGAAGAGAAGCAGAAGTTTTGTATCATGAAGGTAATTGAAAAAGGCCACGTGCATCCCATGGTGACACCATGTCTCTTGTATTTAAAGTGAGTACACCCATAGTGCATTTAGAAGAGCCTGCTGGTGAGGTGTGGCTTGGATGATTGCAATGTAGAAGGCGAGAAGGGACAATACTGTTTCCATGGTATGCTGTTAGTAAGCAGCTCTGCATCGTGCTGGGAGCAGAGATGCCAAAGCTGCAGCTCTGGATACAGACAGGTGTGCTTTAACCAATAAAAGGATTTTTAAAGATGTGTAATATAAATGAAAAGCCTGATTCTATAGAACAGGCACTTATTTGAAGCTAAAATAGTAGGATTGACACTGCATCCTGGATATTCAAGCTCATTTGACTTGGAATGTGGTTGAATTTGTGGTGTAGGCTGTTTCCCTATAGGAAGTCTTGACACTGTTCCTGCTGAGATGTCAAAGGTAATGCAGAGGTGGCAGCTCATATTAGCTCTGAGGTCTAAATATAAGATTGTGTTTGCAAAACTTCTGGTCTCCTGATATGCTGAGGAATGAGCCACACATTCATGTGAAAGTATTAAACTTTCAGTTTGCAGTAATAAAATAAAATTCTTACATAACTCTGTGCCTGCTGTCTGTTACTTCTACTTGCTATAGCAGCCTGCATCTGGAGAACTGTGCGTGTGTTTTTATCCTCTTTTCTTATATATCCCCTTCCTTCTCCTTTCCCCTCTTTAGGAAACAAAGTTTATGCAATTGCACAGTCAGGATCCCTCTTTTTTCTTCTTCTCCAAGCAGCTTTTAAATCACTTGCCTGATGTCACCAGTGTTGCTGTAAGAAGAAAGGTCCTGAAGGTTATCTAGTGAGTATTTTTCACAAAACTCCAGGGAAGTTGAAGGAGAGCAATGTGTTTGGTGCACGTACTGATGGGAAGGGGGGACGGAAGAGTTGTATTTTGTAGGAGGCATCTGGCCAGCTGCTTGGCATGTGTGGAGCCCTGGGATGGTGGAAGCAGGTCCCTTTGGGTGGGAGAGCTGGGGTTATTGTGGTGGGTAGGGAAAGATCAACAGGGCCACATGCAGGTCAATCTGGATCAGGCTTCCTTGCTGTGGAAGAGAGGATGATTGTTCATGCACAAATGTGTTGCAGGCTCAGTTGGGTTTGTATGGTTTTGCTATTTTTTAAGATTTTTTTACCTCTTGCAGAAGTAGGAGTAGCTCTAAAGGTTAAGCAAGTTAGCTGTAAAAATGGTATATTTTAATAGAAAACCACTTTCTTGGAGATTTCCCAATCAGAGTAGAACTCGTTGCATTTACAGTGAGGCTGGCTGAAAATCACCTGCAATTGGTTTATAGAATAGAGGTTTCTTTACCCTCCTAGTTCACCTCCTTTGAAATAAGCAGAGAGAACACAATTTGACCAGTATTATCAGCTAAATAAAACAGCTTCTTGCTTCTCTTTCTTAAGTTACATTTTAAGTTGCTTTTTATTGTGGCATTCAAACAGAAAATGTCTCCAGCCTGGGCTCTGCCCAAGTGCTTTTCATTGCGCATTCTATGTGCATGTTTACACAGCAGTGAGCATAGCTGGTACAGAAACACTTCAGTTCTTTAAGGCAGACCTGGGTGCTGCTGTCCTCCTGGACTGCAGATGCTGCCAGGAGTCCATGGGGGGCCTCAGCCTGCTCACAGATGCCTCCCACAGCATCCGAGAGCTACAGGGAAAGGAGCTTGGTACATCTGGAAGAGCTGCAGCCACTGCAGTGCAGATGCGCCCCGAGGTGAACAGTGGGGATGAGAAATGTCTGTGTTTGGTTCCAACTTTGCCTAAAAACCTTGGAATAATAAATCCCTTTTCCCCCCATGCATTTTGTAAAGAAATGGGCTGATGTATAATTGCTCCTTGCTGTTCTCTCCAAAGTACAGACTCCAGCAGTCTGCAAAGCTCTCAGTGGATGCCCACACGTGTATGGGAGGCTGTGCTAGTGATTTATTTATTTCAGTGTTTCTTGAGTAGAACTGAGTGGTGTCTCGGGAGCTTTGGGACAGTGTCTCTCAATGGAGAATGAGGTATTCTGCTGAGAGGAATGAATCTGGGTTCTAATTAATTTGGTGTTGTCTGAGGCTCTGTCAGGACTAGCACTCCCAGCAGATTACATGGAAATGCACAGATGGGTTTCCCAAAATGTGCAGTATAGCTTTGAGAGAAAATGTGAGAGGCGAGTATACCAGTCTGTAGAAGGAAAGGAGAGGCAAACAGAGAGCAAAGGTAGACATCTTGCTTGATGAAGGTAAGATCAGATGTTGATAGAGATTTGAGACATGATGATTCCAGGCTTTGGGTATGAATGATCAAGAGCTTAGTTTTATCTGTTACTAATCTGCGGATAAGAAATTGATAACAACTGGGCATCTGGCTTTATATCATGTCCTCTTTTGGCAGTGATGCTGTGGGAGATATGCTGGATGAAAAGTGGGAAAGAGAGCTGTTCTCTGACTCAATATTTGAGACATACAAAATCCTGATAGATTGGTGTGTACTTGCCACCATTGGTCTCTGTGGAGAGCAGTTCTAATATCTTAGCTTGGGGAGGTTCCTGTATCAATAAGATAGCTGTAGAAAGTCTCTTTGCTTTTGCTTTTTGGTTACTTGCATCTCTAAGTAAGGAGTGGGAAGCATTTGAAAAACAGAGTTTATATTTCTGTGCTTTGATTTCCTGATTAAAATGGTAAACCTATCCACAAAGCTGTGAATCAGGATGCAGCCATTACTTACCCTTATCATCATTTCACTTGTCTAAGCGCATACTTCCTGCTCAACTCCAGAATGTTAATATTAATCGGAGCCTCAGCTGTAAGTCCCAAGCCAACGTGATGCAAGCAGTGAAACTGCAGATCAGCAGGAGTTTAGGGGCTGTAGTTGACATGGCAATTTACTGTTCTGTATTACATCTGTCACAGACAGTTCTGATTCTCAGGCTAAAGGTTAATCAATATAGTCAACCCACCCTCATTCAACACTCAGTTTGCAGCTTGATGTCTTGGGTGGGTGGAAAAAAACCTGAGCATTTCCTCCAAAAGACTATGCTGCCTCCTGTCCCCATCCCCAGCACTTACCATCCTGGATTGTGCTGTTAGATGTGCATATGCTGTCCTGTTCAGAAGGTTGTAGGTGGGTTATTTAAGGGACAAAGCTGAAGGCTCAGTAATCAGAACGGCTGGAGCTTGAAATAAAATACAGATTCTTGTTCTAATTTTAATCAAGAAGCTTCACTGGGTCACACTGACCATTGATCTTTGCATTGTAATAAACTTGCTCCTGTGCATAGTGTGAATGTTTAATATCCAAACTTTATCCTTGGAAGGCTGCAACACCATGGCGATCAGTAGTTGTAAGGTGTGTGAAGTCACCTGTTAAATGACACAATCAGTAATGTGTTCTGATTTTGGAAGAGTTGCTTGTCCTGCTTACAAAATCATTCTGTGTTTTCTGAAAGGGATAGCTTATAAATGCCTGCAAAGTTAAGATCAAATTCTGGTTTTGAAGTAAGAAAGACAGGTTGTATATCACATATGTGAAATATGTGTACTCCATGCTGCTCATGTTCAGTAGTGTGGGCTCTAGTTTCCTTGGTAAAATACCAGACAGAACAGTCTTTGTAATGAGATTGTTTGCCTCTGGTAGTATAAGATGAGACTTTTAAGTCTAATGCTGATGCTCTGATGAGAAGAGAGCTGTTCTTTCAATTGACCAATTAGGTGAAGTAGATAAAACACTGCTAATAGGTACTCACAGCTTTTATCCTCTAAGTACTCATGTAGTGAGGTGGTTCAGGTTGACTGGAAGGCAGGAGACACTCAAGATTTCACAACTTGAGCAGAAGTGATGGCTTAGAAAAGGACAGAGCAGTTGTACAAGTGCTGTGTCAGGAGGTCGAGGTGCCACATGCAGCCAACTCTGCTCTGCAGCTCTAGGAAACTGCCCCCAGTTTTACCTGTCCTTACTTTCTGCTGTCCTTACAGCATCACTGAATTCTGTGGAGTGAGGTTTTATTTGCTTGAAGTTAATGACTGCCCTCTTCTACCAGGCAGCTGCAGGGCAGGTTACGGTGATCCAGGCTAAGTAATAAATCTGGCAAAGGAGATGTGCATGTAATCAGTTACTTAACATATTTATGCTTGACTTTTGTCATCGGCTAGATTTCCTTGACTGTTCACAAAGCGTGCCTTGCTTTACAGGCCCAAGCCCCCGTATAGGGGCAGTTGGGTGTGCATACTGTTGACCTCAGCACTTTTTCCCTTCCAGCTGAGCCTAGAAAAACCTTAGCCAAAAGACAGCAAACCACAGGGAAGTGGAAACGTGTGTGATGTAAGTGACATACAACTGAAAATACTGGCTAGCATCATGAAACTCCCATCCGCTTCCCATACCCCTCCTCCTGCTGCCTTTCACCCCAGCTGCTTTGCACAGTCTCACCATCCTCTGGGATGCTTCTGCCGTGGGTGCTGCAATGGGAGGAATATGTAAAATCTATTAATGGTTTGGACAAAGCGAACCTGGAATTGTGCGTTCTGAGAGTGCGTTGGAAAGAACCTGGCACACAAAGTGCCGTGCTTGGCTAGCACAGGTTTTCTGCCTTGTATGGCCTGAGGAGTTGGCAAAATGTTGTGGGAATAGTCAGTTCTGCTGTAAGTCGCCATTTTCTGACTTATTTTAACAGTCTTTTAAACCAATGTTTCAATGTCTCCTTTTGCAGACTCTGGAGATCCTTTTTTTTTGACATGTGCTACTTAAGAAAAATTGTCATGCAAACCAGCCCAACAGTTTCTTTTGCATGAAATCAAGTGAAAAGCATCAAGCACAAGGACAAAACGTTAAATAGGTGATATTTCTGGTATAGCTGGGCTCTCAAAACTGGCAGAACTGTCTGCAGAAGAGGAGCACGGATCTGTGGGGTTACTTCTAGAATCAAAGAGGAGAGGTCCACATTGTGGATGTACTGCTGGTTGCATTTTATGTATATTTTTCATGTGGAGCTCAGCAGTCCCTGAGGAAAGGGCCATGTCAGTAGCTATATTCCTCCCTTTGCTGTGCCCACTTGCTGTTTCTAATAATAATTCTTTCTCCTGTAGGTAATGGTGCTGCATTACAATCTTCAGTGCAGGGAAGATCAACTCGTGATAGTTGTTCTTTCTTTGTACAGCACCAAACACCACCACCTCTGGGGCATGAAATGCCAAAACCAGTGCCTGAGAGAAGTAATTTTATTTGCCTTCTCTGTCAGCTGGAAAAGCCACCTTCACCTGTCATTTCACAGCTCCTGTTGTCCTTTTCCTTTCCATCTTCCCTTCCCATCTTCCCTTCATATTCAGGCATATGGCTGAGTGAACCTGGGGTTTCAATTGCAGCAGCGCCTGTCTCATGCCTGTAACCAAAATGCTTCTTTCAATTGAGATCTGTAGGAATTACCTTTTGGCAGCTTTTCTAAAGATCTCTCACAGAGGGAAATTATCATGCCTATGACTACTTAATTCTTTATTGCTTTTATTTATTTCCTGGTTCAACTCCTTATATTGTTTCCTGATTATTGTTTTCCTAGAAGGAAGACTCTTATTGCCCATAAAGTGATTCAGCCTAAATAGCTTTATAATGTATTTTCTGTATGGTGTTATTTTATGATCATCATGAAGATAAATTAGACATGTAGTGAGTAAGAAACCAATCCATTCTAGGCAGGACTCATGCTTACTTTTCAAGTGTAACCTTTAAGGATTTTCAGCAGTATTTTCCACTATACTATGTGCATGTGTAAATACACTGGGTAGTTCAGAAGCACTCCTGTTTTCTGAGTGCAGTACGTGGCAGAGCAGGAAAATGCCTTTAATTATCCTGCAGGAGAATGAAACTTGATCTCATCCATTGTCACTGTCCAAAGATGATTCCTGGGAGCACACTCATTCTGCCATCCCAGAGGTGTTATGTCTGTTGTACTTGTATCTTCAGGTTATTAAGAACAGAGATAGTTTCATAATTGTGTGAGTAACTAAGGCTTCACTTCATTCTACTTTAGCTGTGATTTTGTTTTTTTTTATTGCCAAATAACCCAGAAACAAAGAGGTCACATTGAGGCTTCTCTGTTTAATTTATGATGTACTAAGCGGGTAGCTTTTCATAAGCACCCAGTCATCTCCATCCATTATGTTGCCTTAGATCAAGTGTCTTCTGGTCACCTTCCTCCCTCTAAAAGCATCAGTAGAAAATGTGATTAATTTTAGCATCTTACTGTTCAGGTGCTTAAGGTTGAGTGAGAGGAATACCATCAAAATGTTTGACCCTGAGGTTAGGCTGAGCGTGTCTGGAGAGATGACAGATACAATTTTTACAGATCATGATACAGGGCAGAGTTTTCCAAGTTTCTCAGAGAGAATTCCCTTCTGTTTTTCAGGTCTCTGCTTTTTGTGCTTGTGGTAACTTCACTTTAAAGTGAGACTTGATCAGGCATTTGCCGATAGTTTGATCTCTAAAGCAATACAAGCTAAAGGCTTGATGTATGTGTACACATGTTGGTGTATGTGGCTTTTAAGATTTCAGCTTACTCAGCTGTAGATTGAAGATGTAATTTTGCAGGTACTGTAGTTTCACATCTGTGTGGAACAGTTTTACCAGTCAGGATTCCCTCCTGGAGATAAATTTGAGTGACTGAGACCTACTTCATCTCTTCTCTTTCAGAAAGTAAATCCCTTCCTATTCTAGGAAGTGTGCTCCTTTTGTCTGATTCTTTGTGTCTTTGCCTCTTACTCCTCACCCGGGCTGTATAGAAACACATTTTAGCCTAAACTTAGGCTGCTGGTTGCCTTAATACCATTTGTGTGGCTTGATTGCAATAATCATGTTTTCATTTCTGAGCCTGTGAGTAGAGGAAAAACTAAATGTTCTAGTGGAGTGTCTCCAGGGTATACTAATTTTTAAGGTCTCTCTTCAGTGTCAGAATGTGCTTAAATGTGGCTTGTTTCCTAGGTTCCTTCATCAGCATCTCTGATAAGAAGACAGGTTGTTCCCTTGGCTTGTGGCGGTTTCTTTCTATGAGCAGAAAAGGTGCTTTTGCCCGCTGCTTCAGTAGTAGGTCCCAACCCATGTGCCAACAGCTGTATTGAGAGGCCGACCATACAGAATATTCTCCATAACCTAAAAGAGATTTTTTTCTTCTTTCTGTGCATCAAATATCTTTTCTGCCTTCTGATATGTCTTGGAAGGTATCAGAGGCAGGCGGTGGATTTTATAGCATATCTTTTATTGATGGCATAAAAACCCTCTTTGCAGTTGGTACAGCAGACTCCTTCAATGTGAGACCTGTAGTTGGTTTTACTTGCCTGCACAGATTCAGTTGGTCACTGTTAGCAGTGGTTGGGTAGCTGGATAGTATAACTTAGGGGTAACATAAAATGAAGTTGACTTTACCATTAAAGGAATGATACACAGACTGTATGAAACATACTTTGCAATTTAATCAAAGTGCTAAATGTTTGACAATGTATCTGAAGCTGCTCTAGAGTGCCTGGTACCACAGTGGAGCGCTGCCGAATCCAAGGGCCTCACTGCAGGATTTAGGTCACCCTTGCTGCGGAGCACACAGGACCTGGGGTATTGTCCCTCTTCCTGAATCACCTCCTGGCTGTTTCTGACATCTGTGTTTTAGCTCTCACTGTTTGCTTCAATTTCATACGTTGGTGCTGTAAGTCATTGGTGTTGTTTGTTTCATGCTGTGTGAATGTAAGTGTTCAGAGATTTCAAACACAGGCTGGTGCTTCATGATAACTGGTTTCCTGCTTGCTAGGCTCATGCCAACAGCTTGTGACATCTGGTTGGTATGTTCTGAACACTGTTACACTGTCTGGCACCATGCTGCAGTTACCAGACAACATGTAAATGCTTCCTACCTTTTTCTGGAGCTCTTCAACAAGTGGTTTGTGCAGTACACCCCATGTCCTTGCACTAGTGCTCTAGTGCACTGTCCCCTGGGGTGTCTAAAAGATAAGTGCATCTTGTCTAAACTGGGAAGTCATTGAACTGCTTGGTTGGCAAGATCTGCTCACTGACTTACCCTAAAAGCTGGGGAGGAACTGCCAATTTCTTCTGCGTTTGGTGGGCATGAACTGTTTGTTCAGGGAGGTAATTCTAAACTCTGGTTATTGTGAAGTTTTTCTGTAACAATTAAAAGATGCCTCTGGGTAGTTCCCAGTAACTGCATGGAGTTCACTTTGCCATTTCCTGCCTTGAATTGGCACTTGTAGGTAATTGTTTGTACAAAGAGCATCCAGACTGAGCCTCTGCACAAATGGAAACTTGTTGCTTAACAGAAGTGTTTACCAGAACTGGTAGAGAAGTTGCTGGAAGTAAAAGCTCTGCATTTGCCCGGTTAGAGATGTGTTTGTCTTGCACTAAAAGAGCACAGAAAAGCTAAAGACCTGGCAGCCATTTCCAGAGGAGCTGCTGCTGAGAAAGTAAGATTTTTAAGAGCCTCTCTGCTTTTACAGGCTTTCATAGTCCCTTACTTAGTCAATAGTAGGATTATTTCCATTATATCTTAATGTTTTGTTCAGGTGATTCCTGGACAATATGCCATTTTGCTCAGATGAACAGTAAAAAATAGCTCGCAGGTATAATTGTGGGCAGTGCGAGCCATGGAATTAAACACTCATGAGGAAGTAGAGAGGAAGCAGGATATTTTTCAGCATTCCGTCTCAAATTGCTAGGTTTTAGCAATAGGAACTTGTGAGCTACAGTTTTCAGCAGTTAAAGAAGAAACTGAAAAGTGAACAGGACTGAGGCTACTCTCTCTAAATACAGCTGCAGTATAAACACCTCTGCAGAAAGGCAAATTGAGAGAGGATTTCTTTGTCCAAGTATGAAACCCAAGTTTGTTACAGTCCTTTTGCTGGCCGTTTTGTGTTTGTGAAGACACTCCTCAGACTTACTTTATTTTATGACTCTTGCACCTCTTTTAGTTTGCTCTGTTAAGTAGTGCATTGTGGAATCATTAGCCCCATGCTTTGATTCTCAGCTGTTATTTTTAATGAGTCTTGAGAAGTGTAACCTGTGGGAGAACTGCATGCTCTGTTTTGTTTCCATCCCCAGGGATCTGTACATGCATCTAATCTGGATGAGCTCATAGTAGCCCTCCGTTTTTGAGTAATATGGCTATTTTCTTCTTCATAGGACTGAGTTTGCCCTAAAAGAAATCATGTCATCAGGAGGAGCTGAAGATGACATTCCTCAAGCAGAGAGGAAAACAGTGACAGACTTTTGCTACTTGCTGGATAAATCTAAACAGCTATTTAATGGCTTAAGGTTAGTGCATTTTGATACTATTCCTTCAGAAAAGCATTAGAGCACAACACTTTAGTGTGTGAGTGATGCTGAAGTCAGTTGTACAATGAACATTTCAAACTCAAACCCAGCAAGTTTGTTTAGGGAAGAATAGTGTGCACCTATGTATAGATAGTTTTGGACCATGGATGTAAGAATGTAAAGTTGACACGTTTCTGAGACAATAGGGAAGGAAGTGTGAGAAAGGAGAGCTGAATGTCTCAGGTCAGTTAACAGTAAACTACAAGTTGGAAATCCGTGAAATGGATGGAATTCATACTGAAATGTGTATGAAGTACACAATGAAGGGGCTAGGTGTGGCTGTATACAGTCAACAGCATGCAATTCCCAAACCCCCCAGTCTCTGTACCAAAAAAGGAATGAGATGGATCAGCCCAGGTGAGAGAAAAGTGGGGAGAGAATATTTTGGGGGAAGAAATTTAGGAAGTGACGAACAGAAACATCCAAACCATACCCTGTATGTGTCTAGTGAAACAAATGCTTAATCTGAACTGTGGAGAAATGTAAAATCTGCATTTATCTACAAAACATCTGCAATAACAGCCAGAAAGTCTGGCTGTTTTGTCAGCACCAATGAGAGGGGAAATAAGGAGAGTTCAAGGGAAATAGTTCACATTTGGACAGTGATACAGGCATCCTGTTTATGTCAGTATATGCTGAAGTTAAAGCCTGCTTTATTTCTAAACTTTGCTGTCAAGTCTCTTAAGCAACATGGTTTTTAGCTCAGATCTTGTTGGCAGTTCAGTGTCTTACTGGTCTCTGAGTAATACTGTATGTTTGGGCCCATATAGCTTGCTGTTATTCAAACACAGATGGTTAGCAAAGATGTTTTTAATTCCTCCACCCCCTGCTATTGATAATCCTTTCATGTGCTTTGGAAGTTGATTACCAAATCCAAAACAAACAGTTTGTGCTCCAAAATCTGCATGGTAAATGGGCAGTAGAGACAAGGAGTTCTTGATGGTTGCTTTCAACACCCCATGAAACAGTCTAAAGCAAAAGGACTGAGATCTTGAGGCCAGGATTTGCAGGACCATATATGCCATTACATTGGCTTTCTGATGCGGCTTGCTTGAAATTTTGGCTTGAGTTACTGAAGAGTACAAATTAATACAGTTCATGTCTGGATGCATGATGCTCAAGTTCAGATCAAAGAGACAATACCTACAGCCATTCTGTCTTTTCCTTTGGGCATGGAAGGAGTTGGTACTTATATCAGATTTCCACATGGGAGATGTAGTTTCTGTGTATATCCATAGTGCTTTGCAAAAAGAAACCTCCTCATCCAACTACATGAAAAGAAAATAGAAATTATCTTTGGATGAAATCTGGGCAATAAAAATAGATAGGCTTCAACAGCTGGCTCTGCTCCATGAAAATACGAACATACCAGAGGGAGCCTGCCTCTGTCCTTAGTGTAACTTGACACAATTAATGTAGTGTTTCTTGCACTAAACCTGACCCCTGTTTCACCTGTAAGAGCTGTGATTCCTTTGGGCATAATGACTGGATAAAGCAGCATTATAATTTTCAGGTGTCTCCTCTGTTAGTGCTGCTTGTTTTCTGGGTAGTTCGCCTGGAAATGACTTGGCAGGTATCCTGATTCTTAGTCCAGTTGCCTGTTTTTCCCTCTAGAGTAATAAATGCATTTGATGCATGCCTGCCTTCTTCTGTTTTGAAGATGATGATGGCCTTTGCTGTTGTGTTATATGACATTCTGTTGTCCCTATCATGTTTCACGGAAAAGAAGTGGTGGTGGAGGGAGAGGAGAGCAACGATTTCCTTCCTGAAACCTCCTCTGGGCACTTCAGCAACAGGGAGCTGAGCCTATAGCTGTGTTGGCAGCTGCTTAGCTGTTGCTGCTGCCAAAAATGCAAGGACTCAGCCTGCCACGTCTTTGTTTCAGTAGCATTTCCTTCCTCTCTTCCCAATACAGATGCCAAATACAGCATTTGAGCAAAACATATGATGATCTGCCAAGGTTGCTGCTCCAAAGTATACTTCATGCTCACACTACCACTGATACCGTCCTTCTGTGGCCATGCCTGCTAGAATAACGTAGAGGGGAGGTTGTCTTTCTAGTATTTCTTCTCCCTTTTTGAACACCCTGAGCTGTAAGTTAGAAACAACTGTTAATGAAGTATGTTCCAATAGCTGTTCTGTCCTTTCTCCACTCCCATTTGCTTTTTTCTTGGAGAAAAGGCTGGAAAGAGGGAGTGTGTTAGGAAGCAGTTTTTGTATTGTACTGTCACCAGTTATTATTTTATTTTAATGTTTAAAAAGTGCTTAAATGTGTTCAGTATCACAGAGATGCTTGATGCCTTAAGAAATGAAAAGACTTTCCACATATATCATGCTTTCCCAGATCAGGTCTCATTGTGCAGGCTGGAAGAATCACCACTGCTGTCCTTTTGTGGAAAGAAGCGATAATGTTTACCCATTTATTTTGTAGACTTTTAGTGAGGTGCAAGTTGAACATCTTAGTTCTGTTCCATGTTGCTGGTGCTGATGCAGGAACATCAGGACCCCATTAGCTTCATGTAATGCTGCAGGCTGTGCCCAGTGTGGTGCTGGGAAGGTACTGACTTCTCACACCAATTACATCAGTAAGGCAAGTTACTGTGAGTGCTGCTGGTGTGCTTACTGTCTTGGTGGGTTATTAGATGTGATGAGGAAGCTACACCACATGCCGTTATCCCACTGCTGCTTAGGTTCTGAGAATAGGAGCTTGTAATTACTACAAGCCTAGGAACATAAAAGGAAATTGTCTTTTTTATCACCTGTCAAAACTGTGAATGTGTTTAAAGCTCTGAATGTTAAACTTACAGTTATTCTAACCTTCCTTTTCAAAGCGCACTGCTGAGTCTCTAGGACTTTCTCAACATCTTTATATCTCTGGAAGTTGTCCCTGTGTGACAACTTCCATGCGGCGCTGGCCACACAAACCTCAACACCTTTAATTGGTTTTCAGCCAGCATTACCTGGCTCCTGCCAACAGCATGGATGAAATGAATTACTGACGGAAAATTAATTATGAGCACATAAGTAGTGTTGGTCTTTGCTGAGACTATAAGCAGGAATTGGATAAAATTCTGGGCTGCCTGTAGAATTTATCTACCAGCCACTCTAGTGTGGCAAGAGAACTGGTCTTCTGTGCCCAGTATGAGAAACCCATCCTTTTAGAACATCTGAGTTTGTGTCTTCATGTCCAGTTTGGAATGTTTTAAAAGCCAGGAAACTTGAAACACTTTCCACTGAGTTGGAGTTGGAAGGTTGCAGGCTATTGTAATGAAGTGTGTATCTGTCTTCCTTGTTTGGATAGAACTGTCCTAAATCAAAGCATCTCTGTTCCCTCCCCTGCATCTGGATTCCTTCTCACTACCACTTCCTCCCTCTGGTAAAGCTCATAGTCATCAGTAGAAGAGGAGTGAGTATCCAGACCACTGCCTGTTCTCTTCCCAGCATCCTTAGCCAGGCACATCCTGGAGAAAGCTGAGCCTCTTGCCTTTTTCTCTCTCTATTGCTCCAGTATCCTTCTGTAGCTCTGGAAGCAGCAAAATGTCATGCTATAATGTAGGTCTTATGCTCTCAAGTTGGGTGTGTATTTGCTTCTGGACCATATATTCCCTGTCTCCTTCAGTGGGAGGAGCTGTATTAATAATCCACGCTGCAATCAATGGAGTCTCTAGTACTCTTGGGTTATTTCTTACCAAATAATGCAGATCCTCTGGTCTGATTAAAAAACCCTGCACTAAACATCCTCTTTTGCTTATGCATCCATTTTCTCACCGCAGAATTTCTTGATATGTGGGAGTGACATGCATGATGTTCAGAACACAAAACAGTGAATGGATGGCAGCAGTGGCAGCTCTTGTCTGCAAAAAACTGTGGTGAAACCACGGTAATATATTGTCATAAATGAAGTTTTATTACAGCCATGTCAGAATACTATCAAAAGAACAAGTGCTACTGTCTGTTTCCATGGAGATCTTTCCTGTTCCCTGGGGAGCTGAGGAATTGCATGGTTATTGTGCAGCTATGCCAGCTGCAATTAGGCGAGCACGCTGCTTGAGAAATACACATGTGGACACCCAGCAGCGACTGTGGACAACAGCAGCAAACACGTGGGCACTCTGCTCACAGGGGCTTCTTAAAACGCCACTGGTATTTATCTATTCAAAAAGCAATGCAGTGAGTTGAAACAAGGTTTGTAAGAATGATTAGGCTTCTCCAGAGGAAGGTGCAGCACTGGGGGAGAGACAGAGGTGCACAAGGGAAGGTGGCAGGTGAGGTGTAAAGAGTAGATTAACTTATGATGAGGGATATAAGCATGATCAGTAAATAATTACCGCTTATTTCTTCATTTGTGCACATACCCACTTCTCAGTGTTTGAGAGAAGAAGGGTATGTTTTCTTGTTTCCTTATGTTAGACCTTTGCTCAAATGTCCTCGGCAGCTTTGCCTTCAAAGCCCAGTTTACTACTGGTAGAGTTCTTGGAGTCAACTTGCTAATTCAGGCATTCTTTAGGTTAGTGCCAGGGCCCTTTGCCTATATTATTATTTTAAAATGATTAATTTTAGTGTTGTTTTGTATTTGTATTCACTTTTTTTAACATTGAAACTTGCGGATGTGCTAATTAAATTTATCGCTACCTCTTGCTGTATCAAAGCCTGCAATATATCTTAGGCATGTATTTGGACACTTTCTTAACGTCTTTTGTTTATCTATTACAACAATAGAAAGTGGTGAATCATTTATCGCAGTAAGTGCTTTAAATTTGCATGTGTTCATATCAAGCTATATTTGGATGAAGATGTTGGTGCCCTGAAGCACATTGTTATACTCCTGTTTACCCCTCTCTACACCAAAGGGTGTTCCAAGTTGCCAAGCAGCCAATTCCATGATTGGGGGGATTTTTTTTACTATTATTTCAATTGTTGTTTGTTTTTTTTAATCCTGCCCAAGTTCCTTGGCATCTTCATGGAACAGCAGCAGCAAGTACTGGAATGGTTTTCTAGGCTGGTAAGAGTCACAGCTGATAACAGATTCATTTTATATGTACTAACTAAGCTAGACCCTTCAAGCTGTGTGGGAAGTACAGCTGGCTGATGAGGAAAGGAATATTAATTTCCTTTTCTACCTATGGTGCTGTTAAAGCAATTACAGAGAGCAGAAATGTGCCAGTGTGCTGCTCTGGAGATAGTGTACTGCTTTGCTTGCCTGCCTCCTCCAGAGGACATGGTGTGGTTTCCAAAAGGAGGTGTTTCCCTCAGTCTCGACCTCCCACGGTTGGAATTTCTGCTTTTCCACGGCCATCTTCTGAAGACTGGGATGTTGGATGGGATGTTAACCAGCAAAGTGATTTGAAAGAGCATTCCCTGAAGAAATTATTCTTGAATCAAATGAAAGATTATGCCGTCTTGAAAGAGCTGTTCCACTTGTAGAGTTGTACACCTCCTTTGAATCAGCTTCAGAATGGATTTGTAGGCAACAAGTGCTTAGTGAGCCTTCTGCTAGGAGTGAGAGCACAACCCTTCAAAGCTAAAATCCTTAGGACTGCATCATTGTTATGGGGTGGAGGTGGAGGGAAATACATCACATTGGAAATCGAGTGGAGGTACGAAAGCAGAACTGAATTGGATTGACTAACTCAGTTATAGCACTGGAAACTGAGACCAAAAAGCCAGAAGGTCTCAGGTTCTGCCATGTCACTTGGTTAGAGGGTGACAAATTCTGTGGTGATATGTGATATGTAACCAGACATTTGACTAGCCAATCCCTCTGAAAGTGGGAAGCAATAATCAGATGACAGCGCTGAAGAATTTTTTCTTCCCCCCATTGCAGTCTTTCTTGGTATACAAAATTAATATGCTGTCTGCTTTGTGGCATGTTTTTAGGGATACTGTGGTCAGATCATGATATATGTGCTTCCTACAAGCTAAACAGGATTTCAGTGCAGATTCCGGTAGCAGCAGGTTTTGAGTATATACAGGAATCATGGTTCTTGTTGTTCTTGATGCAGGAGGAGTTATAAAGCATTTCAAGTCAATTCTGAACAAAACCATTCTGATATGGACACACATCTGCTGCTGTCACGCTGGGCTGATTGAAATCTACTCCCTAACTCTGCGTTTGTCATGTCTCTCTTGCAGGGATTTACCACAGTATGGGCAAAAGCAGTGGCAGTCCTATTTTGGGCGAACATTTGATGTTTACACCAAACTCTGGAAGTTTCAACAGCAGCATCGGTAAGGGAATGTTGTAGGCAGACATGTTCCATGGATTTAAATGCAACTTTAATCCCTGGTATGCCTCAGGCCCCCAGTGAAGATTGAGATTTCACTGTGTTATTCAAGCATGAAGGGAGAGAATAGTCACTTCCTGTAGCACTCACTGTCTAATGAATTAAAATGTTGCAGAATTTTCAGTGTGACTTTATAACGAAACCCTTTGCTGTACTTGAATGCATGTTGCTTTAATGTATTACCAAGGAGAAGTTTCTGCTGCGCAGAACCCATCTGGAATGGTGTGAAGCATCCTGCTGCAGCGTGGGCTCTGATCTTTCACACCTTACATTGGCTGCGTAGTCTGAGTGTTCTCCTGGGAAGTTGTGACCTTTTGTTGTGTGTATTTTGTGCAACATACTTATGTCTACCTCTTGCAAGTTTATGTAAGATAAGTGGTCCTTGCTCTGGTGTGTGTATGCGGTGCTGTTGGCTCCATGAGGGGCTGCTACTGGGAATGCTATACCACTAATGAAGGCTGAATTTGTCCATACGATGGATCTTTGTCTTGTCTGATGTTCTGAGACATTCTGGAATGTCTTATAATCTTTCTTTTCTCTCTTGCAAAATAGACAAATACTGGACAATCGGTATGGGTTGAAGCGGTGGCAAATTGGGGAAATTGCTTCCAAGATTGGGCAGCTCTATTACCATTATTAGTAAGTAAGCATGCATAGAAAAGGTTTCAGTAGGGGCAGTGTAGTGTTTGTGGCAGTTCCATGGCAAACACTTGGATACTCAGTCAGGAGAAATCAATATATCTGTTGAGTCATGATGCCTGTTTCCGAATGAGAAGGCCCTTGGGGACTCATGGGAGTGCTGCAGAGAATGGCACCTGTAAGCCTGATGCCACACTGCTAGTCATATTGATACTGCCAAAGGACTTGTCTCCTACCTCAAAAGTGTTTCTAAGTCTCCCACGCATACTGCATTTTACTGTTATACAAAAGTGTGATTTACAAGTCTGGGAGCTTAATCTTCCTGTAAACTTTTTAATTAACCTGTCACCTGTACATATGGGTACAAGATAGGCAGATTTGATTGTTACCTGATGTGAAATCCAAGCTCTGAAACCTGTCTTCCTAGCAGCACAAAGGATGAGAGTCTGGCTTTCATATGATGTCACTTGAAGAGGGAGTTTTGCCATTGATGCACAAGAAGGGTGGGTTTGGTGTGGATTTCCTTCTGAAGCAGTGAGCTAATCTGATTCTTCCTCTGCAGCTTGCGCACGTCAGAAACCAGCTATCTCAATGAAGCTTTCTCCTTCTATTCAGCAATTAGGCAGAGGTCATACTACTCCCAAGTCAACAAAGAAGACAGGTAAGCCTGAATTAATGCCTTTGTTTTTTCAAGACTAGAATGGTGTGTGAAACAGGAAATAACTAAACTGAGAGAGTATAACTGAAGTAAAATCAGTGTTGTTGAAGGAAGTTTCTTTTAATCTCCTGCCATGATTAAAAACCTCAGTATAAAAAGAGCTTTGCTGGATGATTGGAGGAATAGTCTGGTATCTGGTCCTGGCTAGAAAGCTGTTAGCCCCAAAGTGTTGTCATTTTGGATCCTGAACAGTGTCAGTGCTGGGACGTAGCATGCTGTGACTGGAAGATAGGTCAGTTGTGCTGTAGCAGAGGAACCTTCTTGATTCTAATCAGGCTTTTCAGGGGAACATCGGTTAGTGCTGCAGTACAATAGCCCTCTGTAACTGACTGGGACAAAGTCCAAGAGCTTCAGGAGGCATAACGTCTTCCTTTTAAGATGCTATACTGAGAAAGGTACACTTGAGTGTACAAAAATGTGCTGCCTGCCAAGAACATAGGCAGATATAAATAAGAATAGGTAGATAACTCAGTTCTGGATCCTGATCTTGCATTTTAGCCAGTAAACTTGAGTTCCCTCATTAAAGAAGAAATGATCTGAAGTCATCATGAAGATAAATACAGAAGGTTAGTTAAGGAGCTTCCTACCAAGGATTCAAGGATCTCTGGACTTCACCTAACTGCACGTCTTTAGTCTTGCTCATGTCTAAACACACTTGTGTGCCACAGTAAGATGAAAGTTTCCCTGTTCTGTTCTGATACCTGTTGATCCTATTATCTTCTCTCTTAAAAATCTCTCGGTTTCAGTCTGAGTGCTTGAGCTGTTTCAGTCAAGGTAGGATTGACCAAACGTGTTTCTAGATGCTGTCAGAAGGTTTTAGAAATGGATGAGTAATTATGGGCTGTGCTGACTTGCAGATCTCTTAAGTTGTCGCATGTGGGTGAACTGAGCCAGCTGTGATTATCATGTGGTGCACTGGGGTCAGATAGTGCCCATGAACTGACAAAAGGTTTGAAGAGCCAGCGGTTATATCTGACTCCCATGCCTGTTCTCATGTAAGGAGACTGTGGGAAAGGGGGAGGCTGTGGCTTTCTTGGTGTATGTTTTATGTCCCTGTACTCAATTTTAAGTAAACCTCATCACAGGCAGGTAGCTATTGATCTTCACATGAATTCAGTTAGAACTCTTAATCTGCAGAGTGTTCAGCCTTGCTCTGGTCTTAAACTCTTCCTCTTCCTTACCCCTGCTGCCTACCTGTGTTCTCTTTTAATCTCAAATTTGGCTGTGGTGTTTTTGTTGTTGTGTTTAGGCCTGAATTAGTGGTTAAGAAGCTGCGTTACTATGCAAGGTTTATAGTGGTTTGTCTCTTGCTCAACAAAATGGATGTTGTAAAGGACCTTGTAAAGGTATGTAAAATGAGGATAAAAGTGCTAAGGGGGGGAGGTTGATGGCTCTTCTTGTTACTAAGGAATCCATAATATAGTCTGTTTCAGTTGAAATATCACTCATTAGATATATGATAATAGCTGCTGTTGCAGTGTAGCTTTTCTGTTTTTTTTTTCTCCTCATTTAATGAATTGTGCTGTTGGATGCCACAGAAGGAAGGAATAACATGGCTAGAGCTATGGAAAGATTCAGTATGATGTCACCATTTGGCTAGAGAAAAGCTTTACAAATGTATATATTAGGAATAAATTGTAAAATGCATGTTATTAATCTGAGAATTTGGGGATCGTCTGATAACTCTGAGTACATTTTCATTCCTGTAGGGGATTTAAGACCCTGGTGGAATCTTCCCCAGCAAGTCTCCATGTCACACTGTTACTTGGAAAGCCAGCATCTCTTAGCTTGATGTTGTGCTCATTTCTCTTCCCTTCCAAACTGAGATCTCTCAATGCTATGTCTAGAACACATCCTGAATACATTTTACACCTTCCAGAGACCCACCAAAATTAAACTTTGCCAAATGGTATAGATAATGCTATGAAATTGGAGAGGCTGGATCTGCATATGCCTCTGTTATGGGAGTAAAGCTCTGAATGCCAACAAACACAAGTCTTTAGGTGCAACAAATAGAGTGCAGGCTAAAGCTGATCACTGCTTTTCTAGTATATGTGGCATCCAACACAGCGATTCTGTGAATCAGACATTTAATAATGACACTTCAATCAAGATGATTTGATAGCACTGTTTGAAAACCAAGTAAATATATTCCAGTAGATGCAGGCTAGATAGGGAGATACCCTTTAATGACAACAAATGAACCCCGGCCTCTTCTCAGTGCAAGCTGGTGTCTGTAGCTGAAAGCCTCTGAGCCTGAGGATGGCAGGCAGTGTGCTCATGTTTGGTGTAGTGTTAGATGGTCCTGCGAGGAGCCAGGGAGTTGGACTTGTTAATCCTTATGGGTCCCTTCCAACTCGCGATCTGTAATGCTTCTCCTGACAGCATATGCTTCCCAAACCTCCCTAACAACCTTGCTGCAAGCAGCTTCTGGTATTGACAGTTTTGTGTAGGTTGCATTGCTGTCTCGGTGTCTAAGCTTACTTGAACTGCTAGCTTAGCTTAGCAGCAGCTAAAAAAGCCATACCATTCACTTTCTCAGTGTATTTAAAGTTACTTGTAAGCTGAAATTCGAGTCCTTGGTATCCATAGCTTATGGTAATAACCAGTGACATAGCTGTATGTGAGTGGGATAGTTATATTTGCATTTGGACCTACTTAAAAGACACTTTGCATTGCCAAAACTCAGTGTAACATTGTCATTCTGTCTCCTAAAGAGCGCGTTTTGGCTGGCATGTTAGTCATAAATGTGCTGCATATGTTCTCAAGTAATTACTTTTTTCTTTATTAAAGGCCAGCACAGCTAACCAAATTGTAAAGTTACTGACTGCCTGTTAAGCTCTCGGTTTCAGAAATGACTGTGACTGTCTTTGAACTTTTTTACATCAGGAGCTGTCAGATGAAATTGAAGACTACACTCATCGCTTTAATACTGAAGATCAGGTGGAGTGGAACCTGGTTCTTCAGGAGGTGGCAGCTTTTATTGAGGTTAGAATACCATTCCCTTTTAGTTGTTAGCTTAAAACTGAAATCTGCTGGCTTGTTCACCAGAGTGTTCCTGTATCACCACCTCTGTGTGGTAAGCAGATGTGCCACGTGCAGGGACAGTATTCCGCTCCAATTTAACCACAGAGATGTGTGCACAGTAGTGGAAGAGTGACAGATGTTAAAGTGAAGAATCAGACCTGGTCATGTAACGTATTGAAGGCAGAAGCGTGAAGCTGAGAAGCACTTGGTCACCTTACTGGTTTTGCTCTTGGTGTTCAGATCATGGTGGAATTGAAAGCACAGCAGTTCTCATGGCCAATACTTTGGAGAGGCTGCCAGCTCTGGTTCTGTTGTTGTGGAAGCCAATCCAATCTGTTGATGTTTTGATTGTGTTTCAAAGTGTACTTTGTTGGAGTACTGGTCTATTGTGCTGGCAAATCATAAGCAGTATATAGTGGAAAATAGGGTGTAAGCATGGCAGTTAACTGATAGGTTCTTAGCATAGTTGTAATGTGACCAACTTCTAAAGTTTATTAAAAGGAAAATATCTTTTTTATTCTGTTAAATGAGACAGTGTTCTACTTCCCTCCTTTTGTACCGGATGTCAGTGTAACACGAGGATTTGTTTAAATATTGCCAGAGTGGATGGCAGCATTACCATTTTCTCATCTCCTTTGCTATTTATTTCTAGGAAGGGAAGGCAAACTAAATAGTGCAGGGTCCTTCTGTATTAGGAATGGTTTGTTTGCTCTGTGTGAATTTGTAAGGCTGTTGATGACATTTGGTTCCTTGGGTATGGAAAAGCTGAAGCAGAGTTTGTGTCATTTGGGGAAGTATGTTTTTCTCTTTGCTGTACCTTCATGTGCTTGTACCATGTATTTGCTTGCAGTCCCTTAGAGCTGTTGCTTTTCCAGGTGGTAAGGCATTGCTCTATTACCTGCATACAAGTATATGTATGGCAAATTAATTTTAAAGGTCTGCCTCAGTTATGAAACATTTACTGTAAGTGACGAGCCCTTTGGACTTCTCTCTGACTGCAAATCTGGACGTTTTCTTGAATTCCTGATTTATTCTGGTTGCTTTTTTTAGGCAGACCCTGTCATGGTTTTAAATGATGACAACACCATTGTAATCACCTCTAACAGGCTTTCTGAAACAGGAGCTCCGTTGCTAGAGCAGGGAATGATAGTGGGACAGCTTGCTCTTGCGGATGCGCTCATTATTGGGAACTGCAACAACCAGGTAAAAGAAATTCTGGGGGCTTGGGTTTGTATCTCTGGAGTTCAGAATCTTTTCCCATGTGAAACCCCTTCTGATCATACAACAGAGTTTCCAAGAGGGGCAAACATGAGAATATTTTGATAGTGATGCGTTCAGTGACACCAAGAAGAAGAGGTTCTCAAAAAGAAGAGTTAAAAATTGGGTATTAGTTATTAAACCTGTGGTACTGACCTCCTATTGCTTATATTCATCAGATTAATTAAAGTAGGTACTATTGATTTTCACACACTGGATGTTTCTTAATAACATTCAAACACAAGAGGCCTCTGGCACGTGGCTAGAAAAAGCCTGACCTAGACTTTCACATGGCATACTCCAGCCTGTTGCAACAGGAAGCTGCTTTCAAAAGACGTTCAAGATCTTGCTTTTTAGATTATGATAGTGAAGTTGTACAGACTTCATGACCTCTCCCTGAGCTCTTTTTTCAGGTAAGCAAGGGAGTTGTATCTAAACTGCAGTTTGTGAATCATTCTCAGATTTTGTCTAAATTCACAGTACATAGTGGTTTCAGCACTTGATCTGGAAATACCCCAGAAAAGTCTGTAATTTGCAAAGTGAAGGGTCTGCACACAAGTGAACTGTCCTGGTAGACCAGTAATAGCCTTTGTCTTCTGTGAGTTCTTCTAAAAGTCATTCATGGGTCTTTAGAGAGTCAAAAATGACACTGACAGGTCCTCGAGAGACATAGATGGTCTGTCTGGTGTGCGGTTGAATCTCTTACCTGGGTAATTCCAAAGAAATGCTGTTTAATCTGTATCTGGCAGAATAAACTCTTTGATCTTTTGCAGGTCAAGTTCAGTGAATTAACAATTGATATGTTCCGAATGCTACAAGCACTTGAAAGGGAACCAATGAATCTAGCATCACAAATGAACAAACCTGGAATGCAGGTAAGTTCCATTTCAGTGATGAACCTGGTCACAGACCTGAATTGGCCTTTTTTTGTTTGCTTATTTATTTATTTAGTTTGTTTATTATAACAAATAGAAATATAGAGGGTTATGAAACTGCTTTGTAATGTATGGTTGTTGGGTTCTTTGTCTTGTTTGTTGTTTCTAACAGGAATCAACGGAGAAACCAGCCAGGCGGGAAAACCCCCATAAATACCTACTTTATAAACCAACTTTCAGCCAGCTGTATACATTTTTAGCAGCATCATTTAAGGTTTGTGAAATCAGTGAATTTATTTGTAATAGAAAAATACCCAGAATGGTATGTGACGCAGAATAAAATGTGGCTGAGATAATCCTTTATACTTCAGGATAATGAAGCCTTCTTAAAATGTTCAATATGTTCTTCAGAGGGGTTGGTAATATTATAGATCTGTGTAATTTGTATAATAAAGACAAATCCATTGACTGCTGTGAAGGGAGAGGGAAAAAAATCATTTTACAACAGAAACCCAGCTTGCTGTTACACAGCAGTTGTATCATAGCTACAATGCAGCCACCTTCAAAGTGAAGCCTGAACAACAGCTCTGCAAGCAGCTTTAGTAGTGGCTATCCAGGATCCAACATGGTGCATGGCATTACTATGGAAAGCCTTAAGTAGTGCGATGTAATGTAATAGTTGCATATGATTGTATGTTATCCAGTAATTTTATCTGAGTGTGTGTGTAGGTACGCACATTATATATAAAGACATTTATAGATAGAGACATATATATGAAAAAATAAGTGTTTCCTATATATATCATATAGGAAATATTTATTGAGGTAAGAGATTTGGAAAACAGAAGAATCCTAAGAGTATTCTCCTACTTCATGTTGTGCCAAGCAATCCAAAATCAGGGAAGTATGCCAAGAAACTGATGCTCTTAAGCACTGTGTACCTGGTAGGTCTCAGTTCTGTATCCCATTCAAATTATATCTCTCTCCTGCACATGCTATGTTTTTATCTGACCATCTTCCTTTGTTACCCACTGCTCTCTTCCATGTAAATAATCTGTATATTTGTAGACTTTAATACAGTTACTTCGGTTATTTAAATTCATTAAAGTTGCTGGGCTCATTATGCTTAATTATGACTGTACAAGTCAGCAACTTGGGATTTAGTAGTAAAAAGAGCACATGAATCCATATAAAGAAGCAAGTTTTAGTCTGTTTCAGGAAACAACTGTAAAGAAACAGCTGGTGAGGTGAAGGCAGTGCTTCCTCTTAATACTTAAGAGTTTGGGTGCCTGCTTGCTCAGCCTTTTGCAGAAATTAAAAGCATCTGTCTCCTCATGGAGGCAGCCCATTAGAAAGGTGGAAAGTAGATTTCTTTTACAGGTCTGTCCAGAAACCTGGATGTGTTGTGCTTGTTGTCCAGCTGAGAAGGGTCTGGGGAAGAGGCAGATGTTGCAGACTCTGGGGTGTTTGGAAACAAAGAACTTCCTTTAGGACCCTGAGTTGCTTGAGAGTTAGGGTCTGCATGGATTGTGGCAGCTTTTGCTTTCCGTATCTTGGAAAGCTGTCAGATCTGGCTAGGCAGCAAAAGTCTGTGTGAAAGCAGATGCTTTTTTTAGTGCTACTTGAGCCTCTGATATCAGCCTAGAGGCCACTGTGGAGAAAAAAAGTATGAATATATCATCAGTTCACATTTTTGTCTGTGCATTCACCTATTCGAAGGTGTGTGTGTGGCAGGGAAGGGACCAGTGTGAAGGGAAGCCAGAAGCAGGAGTAGCCCGATCTTAAATGACAGTGTATTTATGAAAGTGATAATCAAATATTAAAATAAACTTACACATTTCTTCCCTTGCCACTCTTCTCTGTCTCTGAATTTCAGGAGCTGCCTGCAAACAGTGTTCTGCTGATTTACTTGTCGGCCACGGGCGTGTTTCCATCAGGTCGTTCGGATAGTGAAGGTACAATAAAGGAATGCTCCCTGTCATGAACAGGGCTTGAATTCTCTTTATGTTCCAGGACAAGTGACCAAGAAAGATGTCACAAAGCTCCTTTTAAAAGACAAGTCAATTTTACTCTCCTGTCTACTTAGTAAGATAGTCTTTTTATTCCACAAACAATAGTTCCCTGTTTATTAGTGTGCATTAACCTGAAACCTTTTCAAAGGACATACCCAGTTTTTGATGCATCTGAAGTATTAAAAGCTTCACCAGTTTTGAAGACCACATGGCTCAGTTGATGCATCAGTGCAAAGTTAATAAAATGGCTGAATGGCACTCTGTTATTCTTTCCAATCTCCAGTACTGTAAGAACATATGGGCAGGAGATGGGTGGTAAAAGGGCTGAAGCATCTGCAGGGACTGTTCTATTTGCACGCTTCTTAACCTGACAATTCAAGCCCTTCTCATGATTTCTGACAATTCCCCTCACTTCATCCTCCTGTTCTTTGCAACCTAGCAGAATATTTGGATGCAGCTGCAAACTAAAAGCTGAAAACTGGTTGGCTGAACAAACACAGTCGAAAGATCTATTTCTATAATTTAAGGAGGAAAAAAACCATCCTAAATATTGTACACACCTCATCTATTTGAGACTTGCATTCCTTTATAAGATGCATGCCTTGTCCATCCCAGTGCATGATTTATAGAGCTCTCAAAATGTTGAAAGACAAAAAAAATCCCTGTCAGCTCTGCATTGTGGCAGTGATTTTTTTTAAGTGCTTTCAACATTTTATTTTTCGCTGCAACTTGATGCTAGGCTCTGACTAAACAGTGTTCTTTAAAGCCTGTGGTATGTCCCCTTCACTGCATGTTTTGTTTCAGCTTACTGCAGAGGTATCCAGGCTCTGTCATCTGAAGAGCTGCATACTCAGACTTCACTTTTCATTCAATGAATCCCATTACAACTGCATTCTTTTAATAAGGTAGTGTAGCCTGCACAGACCAAAAAAGTTCTACCTTATTAAAAGGGAGAGCAGCTGCAAGTTGCACCATTTACTGCCTGTAAGCCATTTGTGTTTGACAGATCACATTTGTAACAGTGCTGAATTAATGTATGTTCTGTTCCTGATTTTGTGTTCCCAAAGCTTCCCTTAAATGGAAAGGTGTCTTATGTATCCAAACCTGAAAATACTGCATTTGGTGGCCACACAAGGGTCAACCAACTCTGCAAATGTGTAACAGAAGGAAGAAATCCTAATGCTTTTTTTACTAATGTTAGTGGCACTTAATACCCATAGCAATGGCTGAAGTATTTTCTGGTATCTCTAGCACCTTTTCTTTCTTGATAGGATTTTATATTGTTTATAGCCATTACTTCCATCCTTGCTCTCCACCAGACAGTGGGTAGCTCAGTTGTGCAAACTTAGCAGAGCATTTCTTTAGCTTACCCCTGAAAAGCTTATTCGTTCTCTGAGCTCTCTCTTACCCCTTTGCAGTGTTGTAACTGCAGATGGATAGTATTATATCTGTTCTGAGAGTCTGGGGGGGGGGGGTTTATTGACTTAGCCTCATTTTTTATGAGATTCTGAATCTAGAATATGCTGGCTCATACAGTAGTTTTGCAAAGGTATTGATTTTCCCATATGAAATGTGTAATGGGTTTTAATCTGTTTTGCTGTGTAGTGCAACAAGAGCCAATATTTGGATCTTTTGTACTATGTTTATGGATAAATAGCCGATAAATAAATTAGAGGTCATGAAGTTGCATTGCTTGCTTCTATTTGGTAGCTGCTGAAACTACTAAAAATGTATAAAACTGAATCTGTAGTTAGTAAAGTTTCCACGTTTCTTCATCTCCTCCTTACAACTGCAGTAGTTCTGATTCACTTAGTTTTCTGGGATTTGTGGTTGCTTCCTGCCTTTCATGTAATCATTAAATCCATAGCAGAGGTGAGTTGCCTGTGCTAATTTGAGCTTTCTTTTTCACCATGTGTAGGTCCATATGATTTCGGTGGTGTTCTGACAAATAGCAACCGGGACATTATAAATGGGGATGCTATCCACAAGCGAAACCAATCTTACAAGGAGATGCACTGGTAAGTCTCATACGTGTGGCAACTGCAAATCAGAAGAGTTTGTCTTTAATAGAGAAAAAGCTTCAAACCCTCTTGGACTCAAATTCTTCGGTGTAAGACATCATAATGTAGATTGGCTTGAAGTTAAACAATTAGAAATTAATATCCAACTCTAAATGATGATTTAAGCACTCAAAAAGTATTACTGTGACAATCCAGACTCTTTATTCAAATTAGTGGTGCATGACTTCTCAAGAAGATAAAACATCTCTTATTGGGAAAGGACTAGTAAGAAGTCCAACAGCCCATACTACAGAGAACACCAAAGTAGTTTTGCAGTTACTCTCTGAGGATATATCTGAGGACCTGGGGCATGGGGAATTTGCTTGCTTTGTATCTGGACATGGGCAGCTGCGTGTCTAAGAACCTTGTGCAGTGTCACAGCTCTGCAGCAATTCTAGTGCTCTGTGAAGCATCACTTTCTTTTTCCAGTCTTCACCCTGGAGATCTCTACCCTTTCACAAGAAAGCCCCTGTTTATCATTGTGGACTCTTCAAACAGTGTCGCCTATAAGGTAAGGCTCTTGAAGGCAGGTACTGGTCTGACAGGATACAGTGTCAACCCCTAGTTAGCTTACACTTTTAACAGGCTATTTTTTTAAACAGTTTATATTCAGTCTTTCTTTTCTTTTGAGGTTGTGCATGCTAGTCAGGATCTGATCCTATGAATAGGAACAAGAAGGAGAAGCACATGAACAGCCGCTCATTGGAAAGTAATAAATCCTCCTGGAGGGAAAAAAGGTTCAAGATTTCCAAGGTCTCTGGTGGGAGGTTTATTTTTGTTATATACCAAAGACAAATCTTGGTGTGTGTGCGTGGGGGAGGGAGATAACTAATATGCTTTTCTTTTTTACAGTCATCCAACACTCAGTTGCTTTTAAGGAACAGAAAGGAGTCAAAGCATTGAGCCCAATCTTATAAAACTCAGGGTGTCAGTGTCTGAAAAGTATCTGAACCAAGGAAATAACAAGACTCAAATTAGCATCCAGTCTTACTGTAGAGTGGTGTATACTTGGACATTGAGCTTGCTTCCTAGAGTGCTATGGACTTAGAGTAGAATTAGTCCGTGCCAAATCACCTTTGGGAATCTGCAATTTGGGTAATACAGAAGCTGGCATTTTCAGTCTCAGTTGCCAGTTGAATCTGGATAACATTTCACCATTTATTTCATTTGTGAATGGGATGTTAAGAGTGTGCTGTATCTGGGGAAAGTGCCACTTCCTTCTGCCTTCCTTTTTATAGCTCCATTATGTGCAGTGAGAAAAGTGAACATTCACAGCTGAATTTCAGAGGAGGAATAGGGACGTCTAGTGGCCAGATGAACTTGGTCCTCGTTCAGTATCCAGAGTCTGTGTTGTTTTAAAGGCATTTGTTAGCCAACGAGAGGTGCCAAATTTGTGATCAGAATGATTCAGAATAGTGCTATATTGAGCCAGGGAACTTTTACCTGACAGTCTTAAAAATGATCTGGCCTCTCTATAGGGTTTTTGGTTTGTTGTACTGTAATGCATGTCAAAGAGCTTTTAAAATACTACTGCACTTAAGTTCACCACACTAGATTTTGGTGCAGATCTGCTTTTTATTAAATTCATGTCCCTGCTTAAAGGGAGGCAGATACAATTGGAATGATTTACTTGTCTTTCTGAGAAAATAAGGATTTGGTAGGAATTTATTTTCCTTGTTCTGCAGTGAACTGACCATCAGGAGAATGTGAAGTACGTACAAAGTGAAGCACGCCAGTGCTCTAGCTGTTAAGCACACCGAGCAGCTGGTGTGAGAGGAGTCCAAACCTGCCTGTATGTAAGGAGTATAGAAATGTGAATTCTGCAAGTATTTCAGAACAGGATTATGGAAGTGGCTGCTAGGAGCTCTGACCCAGATCAGAATCATGTGGGCCCAACTGTGAAGAATCTAAAAAGAGAAGGAACAGGGGGGGGAAAAACCCAAGAGCATGGGCCCCTATTAAAAAGATCTATTCAGCATTTGAGAGCTCACATTCACCTTCACAATTTATTGCTGCTGAGCCCAGGCAGATGGATGTGTGGGGCTGGGTTTAGGTGTTTTGTTTTCAGCTGAAGGTAGATGGCAGAGCTCTCAATCTCAGTTTTCTAGTCCTCGTAAATTCCTGTCTGTTATCATTCTGTGCGTGCTTATGTGCTTGGTTCCTTGTTGCCAGAATATACCAATAGTGTTGTCTTGTGACTACCCTCTGGGTGTGTTGTGAGAGGCTTTGGGGACTCAAACAGTGGCACAAACAGAGGTTCTGTGCAACAGTGTGAGAAGGTGAAGTCATTGCATTTACCGACTTTTTTCCGCATGGCTGCTCTGATCTGTTCCAATAGGACAGTAACTATCCTGACATTTAAATGTCACCGCTAGCAGTACTGGCAGGAACAGCAACTGCTCACACATCCTTTTCCACAGCCCATTCCTGCTCTCCTGCATGCATTCTCATCCTCTCCCTCTCTCTGGAGGGCTTAAATGGTGATGAGTGAAAGTAAGTCCTGCCAGGAAGTAACTTGCCAGTTTGTCAAATCAGCGGCACTTGAACAGCTTCCTCCCCTATATATTTAGCTGAAAGTGGAAGATTACTGCAAATCCAGCATATCTACTTAAAGCCCTGATTTTTTTTTTTTAACACTTCCATTTAAATATAGATGGGATATGGCTGTGTTCTTGAAAGCTACCACTGTGTATGTGGGTGAAATAATATTTTTAAATCAGTATCTTCCTGTAGCTGTGGCTGTCTACAAGTGTGGTCAAAAGCAGGGTCTTTAAACATCTAAACCAAGACAAAAACTCTAGCCAGTAAGAATGCAAGGCCTTTGTCAGTGGTGAGGTGCAGATACTCAGCTTAGTAAAGCTTGCATGTGAAGTGACTTCTTTCAGAGCTGATGGGTAGTTCTTTTTTGGAAAGAGATGTACATGAAATGCATTTTAGAAAGCAGAATTGCTTCTGTTCTCTTGAATACTGAAGTAAACCAGAGTTGATTTGGAAACAGAAATGTGTTTCATCCTTTTTGGAGTTGTCCATGCCCTGAAAGGTCCTTATCTAGAGCTCTTACCAACATCTAGACTGCAGGGCTGGTTTTCCTGGTGCACCCTGTTGTCCTCTGCTCCAAGCCGTGACTGTCTTTGTTGCAAGTGTGCCCACAGTGTTTTCTGTGGAAACCAGGAGCAGAGGAGGGGGTGATGAGTGAATCCTGGTGTTTGCTTGGGCTGTGGTAGGCAGTTGTGTGGGCAGGAGCTGACACAGGAACCTGGAAGCTTGAGAGCTTTATTCTCCAGGATCTATAACTTAGATGTAGCGACTGGCATGAGCAGTTGTCTTCCAAAGAGCACATTCTGTGTTAAACTGTGTAGTTTCTCCCCTTTGCAGGACTTGCTAGCTATGTTGACTTACCTCTGCAGACTCTAAAATGATCTCGGATACTGTCAGTGAGTAATACCTTTCCTGACATACATGAGTGATCCTTGGTTTTGCTTTGTAGCTGTAGACAGGGTTTAATTGCATTGTCATTTTTACTGATGCAAAGTCTGCTTTGGTCTCTAACGGTGATAGAAGGCAGGATTACACACGTGCGTCTGCTCATGAATACTAAGCGTACATGTAACCTGCCTGTATTCAATGTATTCAGTTCAAGCTGGCACTGTCTGAAGTGGTTCCTGGGGTGTTTTGCTGTAGCAGAGTTTTACTAATTACAGGGCTGCCCTGCAGTTACTGTCTTCATGGTAATAGTCTTTTTTTCTTCATTAGATAAAAACCTTAGTATCTAGCATTACAGATCTCCCTTGGGCCCTTAATGAAAAAGAAGAGGGTTTAGGACTAGTCAGCACTCTGTCAGATATAGGAAATGTTTTGATTAGAGTAGATTACTGTCTTTAGTAGTTAGCATACTTAGTTTCAGTGAATGAATTTAATCTAATTTAATTGCAGTACACTGCCTGGATGGGGAAGTTCCATTTGAATTAAGGAGAAGCCAGAAGGAATAAAAAAGTTAGCTTTTTAATGACTCTACACAAGCAAATAGTTCTGGTGATGTACACCTTGCATTTACAACTTGCAAGTTTTAAGAACATGATCTGAGACGTGTGCTCGCTTATGTGCTCTGGATGCATGGTTTGCATGTGTGCTCTAGCAGGATGCGAACATGATCATTTACATTTGCTATGGCTTTGCAAGCCTTCAGTTTTAGGAAGGGCCTTTCAGTGAGAGACATACGACAGCTGATGAGGTTGTGTAAGTGAATGTCTTGTTTTCTTGGTGGTAATTACTACCGATCAGGATACCTACCAGACAGATACACAGTAGGACTGTATCAGGTCAATGTAGGTGAAACTGGACAACGGTGTCTTTGAGGTTTCTGGAGAAATTCTTGTGCAGTGTCTAAGGTGCTGGTGGAAGGTGCATGAAATGAGTACAGTGAAATGAGGGTTCAGTAGAGCAGATGTTAAGGTTATGACATACTTGCTTTAAAGGAAATTTATTATAAAACATTTCACCACTGGGCTGTTGTGTTTCATCAGACACAGTTCCTCCCTGCTAGAAAGAAAAAGAGAAAAAGGGAAAGAAATTACTGTGGATAGTTCAGTTGGTATTGAGGAAATATGCTAGATGTGGTTCGACCTGAAAGCCAGTGGCTTTCACTTCTACTGCAGAACATGATTTATTTTTCTTTCTTTTCCAAGTAATATTACTATGGAAAGCCATATTTCCATGAAATTAGTGTCTGCTGTCAGTGGCAGTGAAATGAGGGAACTGCAGTTCCTTCAAAATGTAATGGGTTATGTTCTTTCTGTGCTGTGATTTATGAGTAAGTCAACTTAACCTTACTGCTGATACTGAGATGTGTGACGGGCATTAATGTCTTCACTGTCATTAATAGTCTGTGTTTGTACCCTTAACCTTCTTGAATATTCAGAAACAAAATGACCATCAATACTTCAAAATTCTTATCTGTTACAGAATTTCACAAACCTTTTCGGACAACCATTGGTGTGCTTGCTTTCTCCAACAGCGTACCCAAAAGCACTACAAGGTATGTGCAGTATTGTGTTTCATAACAATTTTCATCATATATCTATCCCAAACAAACATAACTTAGATTCTTCGGAAAAGATAGCTTTTCATCACTATGTAATCACTAAATCAGATTAACGTTCCCTGAAGTAATATGATAAAGTTTAGCTACTGTTTATGGCAAATAATTCATCCTAACAATGATATTTCTACAGATGGTTTCAGCAAGGGCTGGGAGACAAAGCCTCCTCTACATGGAGACTTAGAAAATTGCCAGCCCAGTGCTGGGGAGATTATCATGGTTATTAGCACTTTGGGTAGCTCTGTTAGTCCCAGAAGGTGAGCAAAGTCAGTGGCGTTGTATGCCCTGAGAAGGTGCATTTATAGTAGGAACAGGCAATGAAACATTATATTCTTAAGTCTTTGTGACTACTATAAAACATAAATCATTCCAGACTTTCCAACTGGAATTTGCCATGTTAAGGTGGTTATCCATCACAAAGACCTAGCCTCTTTCAGCCAGCATCATGAGAGAACATGCAAGAAGTAGAAGCTTCTCATTTGTTTTGAAACGATTCCTGTTATTTAGCTGAAAATTAAGTAGAAAATAAGCACTCTAGTAATGAAATAACCCCAAACAAGCCAGCCCAAAACCAACATGCTGCGTAACCAAGTCCTGAAAAAGATACACCAAAACAAGTCAGTAATCCTTGCTGAGGTGGAAGTGGCCTTTCTGTTAGGGCACATGCTCTTGTGTACATTGCCTTTTTGACTTTCTGGTTGATTGAGGTGAAGCTTGGACCCCTGTGTAACATGTTGAAGTGCATGGAGTAAATGAGCTTTAGGATACTGTGATGCCCAACAAAAGGGCAAGTATGTCAGCTGTGGAGGGTGTCTATAGGTTCAACTGCCTGTGGTTTTGAATGGAATAAGAATGCCCCATATCTAATAACTTCTCTCTAGGGTTTATAATCAGTATTTTCTATCAGTTGTTTCAATTATTGTGTTCAAGTTGTGTGCTCAAACTGAACACACAGGCCTCCCACAATTCACAAGAAAAAGCTCATTTCTCTTGGTGTGAACGCATCTCTCCAGTAAGCCTTTATTGCCAGTCACTGCATCATCTTGAGAGCAGATCTGCCACAAGAGGGGAGAAGGTGTAGCTAACACAAAGGCGTAGCTCCTCTGTTACAGCATTTAGTGGGTGAGCGACTTCATTCTGTGGCAGGGACAGCTTTCCTGTTTCATGTGCCAAATGTATCTCTTTGTCTGTTGATTTACTTTATTTCTTTTAGATCAGTCCCAGCGGGGCAGCCTCTTCACACTCTTTCTGAACAATCCTTTAATGGCATTCCTGTTTGTCTCTGGATTATCAAGCATGCGCAGAGGACTGTGGGAGAAGTGTCAAGATTACCTTAGGAAAATCAACAGAGATATTGCCCAGCTGCTGACCCACTCCCGATCCATAGGTACCTGCTGCTTAAGCACATGCTGGTTTTCCTTGCTCTGCTTTTCCAAGGGACAGAATAGGGAATAAGGGGAATGCGTGTGAATTTGTAATGGTTTCCCCTAAGTCTCTCTCTTTTTTTTTTATTTTTCTTTTTTGAATTTATTTTTTTAAGCATTTCGAAGCTGATTTTTTTTTTCTTTGTCTTCTCTACAGATCAGTCCTTTCTTCAGTTTTTTGGGGATGAATTTCTTCGCCTGCTTCTAACAAGATTTATCTTCTGTTCGGCTACTATGAGGATGCACAAAATTTTCCGGGTATGCAGGGATATCTGTCCCTTTGAGAACAATCCAGTGCATGTAGAACTGCACTGCCTCAGGATGGAAGGGTCTTAGGGCTAAGCATATCACTGTGACATCAGAAGGATAACTGTTGCCCACATGCCTATGAATCTGTGCTTTTGTATCTCTTCAAAAGCCTATGACTTGCTGAAGTCTTACTCTTCTACAGAAGTAGCAGGCACACTCTAATTCATTTATGTCACTCTGAACAGCTTTATGTGTTAGAAAAGTGCCTCTCAATAATTCAAGATTATTATTTCTACACAACTAAAAATGTGTAGAACAGGAATATAAGAGGAAGTGGAGTGGAATGTTATTGCTTGAATGTTTTCTAGTGTGAATGGATTTAGAAAGGTCTTTGAAGTGTAAATAAATAAGCTAAACAGGAAGATGGTATTTCCCCTCCGTGTTGGTTAATGCTGTGCCAACATTGAAGGCTGCTTCTGGATCTACACTATTTTATATATGAGTGTTGGCACATAAACTGCCTACTCCGTTTTAAACAGTACAGAAAAGAAGTGGAAGTTGAAGCACAGAAAGGTACAGTATTCATCTTGTCTAACTGCAGACATCTAGTAGCTTTCCAAACCTAAGGTTGCTACCTGGACTTTGATACAGGGAAAAGAAGCAGGTCTTCTGATAGTGGAGATAGATTTGCCCCCAGTGTCTTAGATATTTGGTTTAGGATGAGATGAATCTCCCACTGGAGATTCATTTAGATATCTATAATCTCAAGAAATAAACTCCAGTCTAGGAGGTAAGTATATGTGAAGTCATTTTGTCTTTTGTGGTGTTTTCTTCCTTGCAAGGCTTCTGTGAACATATTATTAACCATCTTAGAGGAATGGTCATTTGAATTGCCACTATGACATCTCTGAGTCAATGGAAAGGAAAAACTGAGAATGCTGGAGTCTTTTCTCTCTATCTGGCATGCTAAACATGGCTTGAATGTCTGATTCTCTTTGTTTTCACTGTCATCTAGCAGGAGACTCGAAACTATCCAGAATCTTACCCTCAGCTGCCAAGAGATGAAACGGTGGAGAACCCTCACCTCCAAAAGCACATTTTGGAGCTGGCTTCCATACTGGATGTTAGGAATGTTTTCCTGGAAAACACCCTCGATGACTATTAAAAGAAACTGTCTTACTGCAAAGGGGTTTCCCTGGCCACAGATTTTGAATGGTGCAGTTTTATAATGTGAAAATCATAAAAAGGAAGTACTTGATTTTATTTTTCAATTTAGGACCATTATTTTAAGGAGTAATAATAGACAGCTGTTAGTTTTAGCTGTTCCATTCTGTATGGGGTCAATTTTATAAGCAGAAGTTTTCATGTCTTTTAAATGTTAAACTAAAGAATCACTAGAGGTTTATTTCTGGTCTTGTGGCTGTCAACCACATTTCCAACAGCTGATCCTAAGCATAGAAGTATTATTGGTTACCTTTAGGCCACATTTGTGGAAATCCTTTATTTTTATACAATTTTAAGAAATTGGGAAGAAAAAAATCAATAGAAAACCAATATTTTATCCCCAAAGAGTCTGGATTTGAAATGGTAAAGATGGAACCACACAGTGCAGACCAACAATAGCAATAAAATGAGTCCTTCATAACAAATATATTTTTTCAGTCTTAGGCAAGTGAGTAGACAAAACTGTGGACAATTAAATTGCATTTGGAGCAGTGTTGTAAAGATACTTAATGCTCCCTATAAATTTGACACAGCAATTTTATATATGAACTTTGTACTGCTGACCAAGAACACAATTTCCACTCCACTTCACTGACAGGTGGTTAGCAGATTAACAGATTACTACCCAAGAAAGCTAACCCTCATTTCTCACTGTATATGGGTCATCTTGCTATTTGTATTGCTGCCAGAGTTTTCCAAGCGGAGGGGCCATTCTTCATTTTGAGGTGTTAGATAGAAATTCTTACATTTCCAGCAGGTGTATCCCTCCTTTCAGTATATGGATGGAATGTGTGGCTCCCCCAGTGTTACCAGCACCTCATAGGAGCTGAAGGCATGTCCCATACAGTGCAAACATGAGCCCTTCCTATTGCTTGTTTACCTGACCCATTTGTGTTGGATCCCTGTGCCACAGGAGAGATGCTGATGCTCCTCTTGCAGGTTAAACAAAGTGGGTGCTGCCTTAAAGCCCTATTAATGTTTTGCATGCCCGCCCTTGCATCTCAGTCCTGTCTCTGAACCAGACGGAGGGGCTGTAATGATGAGTGGCAGCACTCCCTAAGCCTGTGATGCTCAGTTTGGGTATGCTCTGTACAGTGGCTGGAGAAGGCTGTTTTGACTGATAGGAAAGTGCTTGCTGACATTTGCACTGTGCTGCCTGCCTTGCAGAGCTAGAGGACCTCTTGCAACTCCTGACAGTGAAGGTGTGAGCAAGGAGAAGGAAAGGGAAATATTTTAAACTATTAAATGAAAAAGTCTATTGTCACTGTTCTGTGGGCTGCTAGAAGAGAAGTGAAAGGGCAAGTCTGATCAGTGCTTTTCTGTTGAACCCCAGCCATGCCTCTCTTTTTAGGTGGAAAAGTGCAGAATTTGTTGGTAGGCCTGTTTGCAATGCCATAGCACAAGGTACGATCTAGTCAGCCGGAATAGTGAAGGGCACTGGTGGACCCCATTCAGCTGAGGAAAGCACAGTGTGGAACAGCAAGAATTGCTGGAGTGTAGCTGGGGAGTTTGCATGAAGGATCTTTGTAGCTGGGCTGAAGCTTTTGTCATCCATTCTTTAATTTCCCAAATGTAAAATATCCTGTGAATGCTCGTGTTCGTTCTAAGCACTCTCGAAGCTGGTATATTGAGCCCCCACCACTTGGTGCTGCTCTTCTTTGGACTATGGCAGGACTTCATTACCTGGGATGTGGAGTTTATTTTGAAGAGTGTATGTTTGTGTGTGTGCATGTGTGTTCTAGGCGTTTGTGTGTATATGTACAATACTCATACATTTACTGGCTGGTGTAAATTGTAAATATGTATATATGTATAGGTACTTGTATATGTATTAAAAAGAATGAAACACTGCAATGTCTATATACAAAATTTATATATACACACATACGCCACTTTGGGTGTATTCCACACTGTGTTGCAGATCATTTGTGGTTGTAGTAAAGGTTATGGCTCTTCTGCCATTGTAATTTGCTGTTTCCGGGGACTTACTCTTGGACCATGAAGTGATTCATAGCTCATTTAGGTACAGGCCTTAGTTATTACCCAGGGGAATGGGTAATATGTATTGCATTGATAATACTGTATGTATTGCAGTGATAAGATTCATGTATTCTTAACTGTGAAGCTGATCTTTCTTCATGGTAGGAGGTCCCCAGTTACTTGGGAATGTATGTAGAAGCTAAAGATACAGAAATCCTTCATTGCAGCAGCGAGAGACAGGTTATCTATCGCCCTGCCTGCTTGCTGCTCCACCAGCAGTGATCACCTTGCATGGAAAAAGGGAAATTAGTTTTCCCCAGCTCACTGCCTTCCAACCAAATGCGTTTTGCTTTAGCTTTTGCTTTGACAAAGATGTTCTCATTTTGGTTCCAGATATCTGGAACAGAGTCTGCTATGTCTATGCATAGGAGTGATGATGGTTCCGTCAGTGTTGGCTGGTGACCTCTGGGGCATGTTGCTTGTTCACTGACTGGGAGAGCCTTGGCAGACCCAGTCTTCATTTCAGCTGGGCTGAAGCAAGGAGTCCTTGCTTGTCATCTGAGAGGTTTCTAATCTACTTTTCAGCCCTAATAGGAGGTTCTGTTTGCTTGTTACCAATGTAGATCTAATCAGAGAAGAATGGACTTCTTAAAAAGCAAAAAACCTGAAGAAGCTGGAATGTAGGAGGAGAATGCAAGGCCTTTGAAATTAGTTCAGAAGTCAAACTTACCAGTGATGACTGTCCAAGTCAAAACTTCGTTCTTGAGGCCCCCCATTCTCTTCTTACCTACTGACCTTTTGTTCAGAAGGGATGATGTTGGCAAGGATATTCAAAGACTAAGATTTCACTCCTGTTATGTCAGTAGGAGTACGAAATTGTGCTTTCTAAGCAAAAAGATGATACAGTCTTCTCTAGCTGTAGATAGGATGAGTATCTCATCTCAGATTTTGAGCCAATCCCCTCCCTTCCCACCCAAAGCAACTGCATTCAAGATGAAAATACTGTTATTTTCCCCTCCAAGTAAAAACTTGTCTTGTTTCAACTTACTAAGTTGTTCTAAACTTGTGCTACTATGTGCTATGTGCTGTGGTCGTAGGTACCTTCTCAATGTATGCTTATATGTACTGAAGAAAAATTTGGTTTATATATCTAGCAGTCCTCAGTGTGGAAGCAAAGCAAACCATGAACCATTTTTAAGTGAGAAGAGAACAAATTCTTTTCTTCTCAGGCCTAAAGCTCTCCCTCTTGTCTCGCTTCCCATTTCTCTGTAACATAATCTTTATTGCTTATGTTGGTGGAAAAGACTTGCCACCACAAGGCAATCTGGAATTAAAGGAGTGAATTCTGCATGTAGTACATCAAGAGGAGAATGTGAACTGGACCAAAGGTGTCCTTACTGGACTACTTCTGCCTGGCTCCCCACTTACTGCACGTGGCATGTTCAAACCCTTCCTTTGTACTCCTGCTCAAACTGGCTGTAGAACATCCAGCCAAAGTTCCTGCTGTTGCTTTGTCTTTTCCCCTTTGAATTCTCAAAATAACAATGATGGGAATACAGGGTTATGAGGTTTTAATGCTCTGGTTTTTAATTACTCTTGAGATGCATGATTTTGCTTCATGTGCAAGCTAAATGGAGCACTAACTTCTGGGAGCTGTGCAAACCAGACTCACTCCCTGGAGTGCTTTCTTGGGAACTCCCAGGATGGTTTGTTTGGGTAGCTCAGCAAAATAGTATCCGTCAAGTCATGATGTACTAAACCCTTCATGACTATTCCCTAGGGAGGTGTCTTTTTAAGGATCATAGGAAGTAGATGGAGAGAACAGGAAATCAGGCTCCAAATCATCTTCAAAAGCTACAAGGTCAGTAGCTGTGGTCAGGCTTTTCCCCTAAGGATGGGATGACAGTGATGCTCCAAGGGTCACCCCTGGCATGCTGCTGTGAAACACCTCTCCTTTCCTGCCACCTTCCCTGTGCTGTAACTGTGCTTCAAGTCTACTTTTCCTGGAAAGCTAAAAAGCTTGGGATCTGTCTGAACAACTTTCTTGTCTTGAGGCTTCTTTTGTAAAAGCTTTACCTGTGTTAAGATTCCCTTTCAGGAACTGCTCTGACTAAAGACCACCGATAGCCACGACAGAGCCCTTGTTCCATCCTGCCCTTTCCATGTTACGTGGCTGCTTAGTATTGGTGGCTGAAAGCTGCTCTGTGCAACTCTCTAACGTCAGACTGGCTGCAGTCAGCATCTGCGTGCGGGAGGCTGGTGCAGAGGATGGGGAATAGATCTCCGGAGCAGGGTTTCTACATTCCTGAGGTGGCTCTAGTACATTTTTAGTATCCTTGACTTTTACAGCAATACTGTTTCTGTGACCAAACATACTACAAGTGCTTGGACGATCTGGATGTCCACAAATAGAGGAGGGGAAGAACACATTAAACATGTATCTGCTTTATATTTAGGAGTCAAAGTAAGCCACATTCCCTCCCCCCCACCCTTTCCAAACCGTAACTCTTGTCTCGACCGAGAGATTTAGTTCATGATTTCTGAACTTGACAGATCTTTTGGGGGATTAAGGAGCGTCTCTGAATTCCTGTTGACTTACTAACGTGCCAGCTGCCCAGATGCATGCATAGCTGTTTTCCCCTTAGAGATCCTCATTTCATTCCCATCGAGAAGAGACTTGGGTGCAACTTGCTGGCCTGAAGCAGCCCCGTGCGCAGCACAGCTCTTCCTTTGAGGGTAAAAGCCCAGTGTGAGTATCTGCCCCAGTGATTGCAGATTTCTTTTGCCATGTGCTTATTACCACTTCTTGGTCCCAAGTGACTCTTCATGAGCAGGATTCCACCTCACACAGGCTAAAAAGCACAAATTGCTTCTACTTGGCCAAGGTTTGGACAAGGGGAATGCAGATGGGAGAGGGAGGGCACGGTGTGAGGGTCCATGCCTCGGGCAGGAGGAGCAGTTTGCCACTGAGAATCGGATTATTTATTACCAAAAGTAATTTTATAGTGAACTGGTTGAAAGTTATTTTACAACTGTGTGCCTGTATATCGTATTTTGGTAAAAACAGATATTTTACTTAAAACTATATAGATATATATATAAATAAACATTTTTTTTTTGGAGCAAATCAGACTCTGTGACTTGCCACCAAAGCCGGGTAATACCAGAAACGGTTCTGCCGTTGTTCTCGGTGTCTTTGGGAGGAAGAAGTGATGTTTGTGTCGCTGATGGGGATCTTGAGGTACCACAGCCCGCAGCAGCCGGGGCGGGTGACACCCCGCAGTGCTGCGCTCCCGTTCCCCGGGTGCTCGCTGTCCCGCCGTTGCTGCGGACGTTCCTCGTTCCCTCACACCGGCCGCTCACAGACTCCACCATCCATAACCCGGGCTCCGCCACCGGAGCCGGGCCGGCTCCCACCGCGGCTGCGCACACATCCGCGCCGCTTCCGGCCCGCGCGGCGCTTCCGGGTCAGCGTCGTCAGGGGAAGCGGCGGCGGCGGCCGTGGGGTCCCGGTGGCGGCAGCGGCGAGGCCAGGCCAGGCCAGGCCATGGGCGGTGAGAGGGGGCCGGGATGAGGGGTGGCCCGGTTGCAGCGCTCGGCCGGCGGTGGCCGGACCGCGGTTGCCTCGGAATGCGGCAGACGCCGCCGCGGGCCGGCCTGTTGGGGACGGACGGGCCTGACAGGGACCGGCCCCGGGCTTCCCTCGCCTGTGAGTGTGGGCCGGGCTGCGGACACACCGCTCCCGCAGCAGGCCGCCGGTGCCTGCCTGTCCCGGCAGAGACCGGCCCTGCCTCAACACTGTCACGGTTTGGGTTTGTCTGGGCTCGGTTTGGAGGGGTTCTGATCGTGTATTGTAACAGGTCTGATACTAAAAGGCATTTATTTATCTTTAAGCACTTAATAAGTAGAAATTTTTAGTGTGGAAACCCTATCCGTTTCATTTGCAGGTACTGTTAGGCTGTGAAGGCTTTAATGGAACTAGAAATGCAATAAGCAGGTGGATGAGGCACAAAATTAACTCTCGGCATCTGGGAGCTTTAAACAGAGTGACACTGTATTAAGTATATTGGAGGTGGTGGCTTTTCGAAGTACCTGGATATTGCAGTTCAGCAGAGCAGTAAAATGTTTGCGAAGCTGAAGAAGAAGATAGCAGAAGAGGCAGCGATTGCGCCCAGGCCAGGGGGAGCTGCCCGGATACCCAGGTCTGTCAGCAAGGAGTCAATCACGTCCGTGGGAGCAGACTCCGGAGATGACTTTGTAAGTTACACCTTGCTTTGAGTGTGATTTCTCTTACAGCGTTTCCAGTATGGCTTTGTAAACCAGAGTTTGAAGTTTGGTGTATGAGTTGAGCATGTATTGTGGTGTCTCTGGAGGGGTACCCCTTAATGCATACGTGAATTGTTAGCTCGAATAAGCTGAAGTACTGAGGAGAAAATGTTTGTATGTTAACCATAGGGGTTACCAGGAGGTTTATTCCCACGTAAATGTGAGTTATAAAGCTGTCTCAATACAAAACGCTGTTAAACAGTTATAAATTAGTGAATAAAGCTGTAGTAGCATGTAAGATACCTATTTGTAAAACTAATTACTGCAGCAACAGGAAAGCAAACAGGATGCTAGTTATCATCTTATTATGAACCTGTGTTTACCTCTTGGCTTGCTGGTACTCTTCCTACTCAAGAGTATTGGTTATGCCCCTGCCAAGAATGTGTCCACCGTTCTGTTGCACTCAAAACTATTGTAGTTCCTCCACTGTCTGGTCTAAGCTCTCTTTCATTATAAAGCACTGTTTTAGCAAGTTGTATAAGTCCAGGAGTGTGTGGGTTAAATGAAACCCTGTAGTGCTCTGGCACCTCTGCCCCTTGGTGGCTGTC